TACCTACCCCACCCTCCCTAATACTGAACCTACCTACCCCACCCTCAGATCACCCTCCTTAATACTGAACCTACCTACCCCACCCTCCCTGATACTGAACCTACCTCCCCCCACATTCAGATCACCCTCCCTAATACTGAACCTACCTCCCCTATCCTCAGATCACCTTCCCTAATACTGAACCTACCGGGCACCTACCCCACCCTCAGATCACCCTCCTTAATACTGAACCTACCATCCCCACCCTTAGATCACCTTCCCTAATACTGAACCTACCATCCCCACCTTCAGATCACCCTCCCTAATACTGAACCTACCATCCCCACCCTCAGATCACCCTCCCTAATACTGAACCTACCTTCCCCATCCTCAGATCACTTTCCCTCATGCTGACCTACCTTCCCTATCCTGAGATCACTTTCCCTCATGCTGACCTAGCTTCCCTCTCCTCAGCTCACCCTCTCTGATACTGAAGCTACCTACCCTACTCTCAGATCTACAATAATGTAATTTAATTGGCATGCATGCACAAGCTCTGCACCCTGTTGCTTCTTCAGCTTTTCTGCCCTTAATCACATGCCTTAGCCTCAGTATAACACACTTAGAATGACTTAGTAGAAACATGTTATTCAGAAACTAACAGTGTAAAGATATTACAAATATGTCATTTTTATTGTTTTATGTTTCAGTCTTTGCAAGTCACATGATCTATGACATTAGACCAATATCATCATGTCTGTTATCATCATATGGACTTGGATGTCTGTTATGTGCTATATATAGATATATATGATGTCTGTAATGGACTATATATAGATATATATGATGTCTGTTATGGGCTATATATAGATATATATGATGTCTGTTATGGGCTATACATAGATATATATGATGTCTGTTATGGGCTATATATAGATATATATGATGTCTGTTATGGGCTATACATAGATATATATGATGTCTGTTATGGACTATATATAGATATATATGATGTCTGTTATGGGCTATATATAGATATATATGATGTCTGTTATGGGCTATAAATAGATATATATGATGTCTGTTATGGGCTATATATAGATATATATGATGTCTGTTATGGGCTATATATAGATATATATGATGTCTGTTATGGGCTATATATTGATATATATGAGGTCTGTTATGGGCTATATATAGATATATATGATGTCTGTTTTGGGCTATATATAGATATATATATGATGTCTGTTATGGGCTATATAAAGATATATATGATGTCTGTTATGGGCTATATATAGATATATATGATGTCTGTTATGGGCTATATATAGATATATATGATGTCTGTTATGGGCTATATATTGATATATATGAGGTCTGTTATGGGCTATATATAGATATAAATGATGACTTATGGGCTATATATAGATATATATGATGTCTGTTATGGGCTATATATAGATATATATGATGACTTATGGGCTATATATAGATATATATGATGTCTGTTATGGGCTATATATAGATAAATATGATGTCTGTTATTTGCTATATATAGATATATATGATGTCTGTTATGGGATATATACTAATAAATATGATGTCTGTTATGTGCTATATATAGATATATATGATGTCTGTTATGGGCTATACATAGATATGTATGATGTCTGTTATGGGCTATATATAGATATAAATGATGTCTGTTATGGGCTATACATAGATATATATGATGTCTGTTATGGGCTATACATAGATATATATGATGTCTGTTATGGGCGATACATAGATATATATGATGTCTGTTATGGGCTATACATAGATATATATGATGTCTGTTATGGGCTATACATAGATATATATGATGTCTGTTATGGGCTATACATAGATATAAATGATGACTGTTATGGGCTATACATAGATATATATGATGTCTGTTATGGGCTATATATAGATATATATGATGTCTATTATGGGCTATATATAGATATATATGATGTCTGTTATGGGCTATATAAAGATATATATGATGTCTGTTATGGGCTATATATAGATATATATGATGTCTGTTATGGGCTATATAAAGATATATATGATGTCTGTTATGGGCTATATATAGATATCTATGATGTCTGTTATGGGCTATATATAGATATATATGATGTCTGTTATGGGCTATATATAGATATCTATGATGTCTGTTATGGGCTATATATAGATATATATGATGTCTGTTATGGGCTATATATAGATATATATGATGTCTGTTATGGGCTATATATAGATATATATGATGTCTGTTATGGGCTATATCCTGATAAATTTTGGGCTTATGTTGAAATAGTATAAATCAGTATGTGTTTTACCCAAAATGTAACTCAATAAAACGTTGACAGATTTGACCAGAAGAAGTACACGTTCAGGTTCATGTGTCTCCTTCTGTCCTTATGTTGTCCTAGTTTCCTAATCAGTTCTGTTGTTCTAGTGTCAGAATCTGTCATTTCGTTGATTAGTGTTGTACTTTGTCCTTGTGTCGTCCTAGTGTCCCACTATGTCCTTGTGTGTTGTCCTAGTGTCCCACTATCCCCTTTTTTGTCCTAGTGTTCCACTTTGTTCTTATGGTATCCTATTGTGTCTCGTTCTGTTGTCCTAGGACACTTCAAACAATTGTTGTGATCTCTGTATCTTGAGAAGTATTGGATGGATCTTTCCCAAATATCATACATATTTAAGCCTTTGGCCATAGTTGTGTCCTTTTTGATTTTGGGAAAACAAATTGACTGACAGGTGGTCATTTTAGATTTTGACCGTGAAAGCTTGTTATCACTTTTTCTTGAGAAATACTGCATGTATTACATATCATTCCCCTTGCTTCTTATTTGTGTCCTTTTGATTTTGGAACTGATCAGATAAAAAACAAAAACAAAAGCAAATTGCTTACAGGCGACCATCTTTGATTTTATAATTTAAGACTATTATTGCTTTTTCTCAAAAAAAAATTCTCCAATTCATATAAAATTTTAATTTTAATTTTAAATTTAAAAGCAAATAAAAGAAGGCAAAAGATCCAACTAAGAGAACAAGATCCCTTTCAGTCTCTTGTATCTTGATGTTCCATTTTTTCCTTTGGTTGTCCTCCATGTCCGACTCAATTCATTTTTTCCTAATGTCCCACTCTGTCCTGCTATTGTCCTAATTATCGTTTGGGATGTACATTATGTGGTAAAATCTATAGCTGTGTCCATGAACAGTTAATCAGTTTTAAAACTCTGGTTTATGGCTGTGGTAACTCGTTACAGAACTGAGTGTGTTGACAATATTGATGTCACATACTGATACACTAGATAATAGATTTTACCTGAGATTACAGGTAACGCTGTCAAATATTGATGTATAATGCACAAACTGAATCTACCACATGAAAGCAATGTATCATCAATATTGACTGTGTGGGCTGTTCGTCTTCCGATGTAATTTCATTTTTATTTTTTTTTCCACCAATTCCAATTTAAACCATGGAAACAAGTTAATCCTTTAAAAAGCTATATGATATCGGAAAGGAAGCCCCGTTCTGATCAATACGATCCTGTTCAATTTATCAGCATTTAAATTGATATCAAATCGACAATGATGTACTGTTATAGAGTAATCTCATTGGTATTTGATATGGTAAAGGGATATATGATATTATATTATCAAAATTTATATAGAAAGGTTTATAAAATATTCATGTACACACTATACAATATCACTACAAATACTATACAAATACAGTAGTTTATATAGACAATAGTATGTGATAAATCTGGATAGCAGTACATGGTTTATATAGATATTAGTATGTGATAAATCTGGATAGCAGTACATGGTTTATATAGATATTAGTTTGTGATAAATCTGGATAGCAGTACATGGTTTATATAGATGATAGTATGTGATAAATCTGGATAACAGTACATGGTTTATATAGATATTAGTTTGTGATAAATCTGGATAGCAGTACATGGTTTATATAGATGATAGTATGTGATAAATCTGGATAGCAGTACATGGTTTATATAGATGATAGTATGTGATAAATCTGGATAGCAGTACATGGTTTATATTGATATTAGTATGTGATAAATCTGGATAGCAGTACATGGTTTATATAGATGATAGTATGTGATAAATCTGGATAGCAGTACATGGTTTATATAGATGATAGTATGTGATAAATCTGGATAACAGTACATGGTTTATATAGATAATAGTATGTGATAAATATAGATAGCAGTACATGGTTTATATAGATAATTGTACCAAATATAGATGAAAATTATACAAAGTATTAAGTTGTGGCATTCTGATACTTGAGATTCTTAACCTGTCTTTCATATTAAGTATATAAGCAGTATATACTATATCTACTAACTAACAGCTATATATATGATGTACTAACTGTACATGTAGCAATGCTAACTCCAGCTAGATACAAACACGTGTGTGGTACTCTTCCATACAGATGTCAACAGACACAATTAACATGTCCTAATCATATTGGGTATATGTTAACAGCAACTAAATAAATTTAAAAAAAAAACAATTTCATTAATTATGAATTACACGAAAGAAAAGTCCAAGGATTTCTGCGCTTCACTTAAACAGGGAACTGACATTCATTAGCAATATTTCCATCAGGGACGGAAGATCTGGTGATAACCAGCAGTCATCTGTTTACTGTCATTTTATAAAGATATAAAATATCTGCAGTTTTAGATCTTATATCGACTAATTCAGTGTGAAATTCGTTCATTATACTAAAATTTGAATTTATTTATAAGAAGTTAACTATTAGGGTAATTCATTGAAAAAGTATTTTTTAATTAATTTTCAAATTCTTAATTCCTTCTTTAATCATTTGTACTACAATATTTGTATCATTATGATCAAACTTAAGTTCTTTGCATAGATAACCATTCTCTTAATATATGAAAAGCTGGTAATTAAAATCTCTTTTCTTTTTCTTTTTTTTGCAGATCTGACAAGTCGACATCCTGGCCGGGTTAAACATGATTATTCTTCCCCATATCACAACTCCCCCATCCCTAAGATCCCTACAAAGAACAATCCTGACCCTCGTCGTTATGAGTCAATGGATCCTGACCCCCAATTCACCCCTGATGATGGTGTTAATAGTTACTCTCGAGCCCAGCCCTACCAAACACCCCCTCGGGGCCAGAGGGCCCAGTCTCCACCTTCTAGGGAAGATAGAAATTACACAACACCACCACATCGCCAGGATAGGGGGTTGAACAGAAGTCATGACCCTGCTAGTGGGCGTGATAGCGATACTCCAACAGATGGGCATCAACACCGAGGTGGCCAACAGCGGTCACAATCCCCTCCTCAGAGGTCACAATCCCCCCACAGAGTCACCAACCACCGCTCACAATCCCCTGAAAGATCAGTCGAAAATAATCGCTCTAGATCTCCAGCTAGACAGATTCATCAGTCCAGGTCTCCCCCTAGATACACAACTGAAAATGTCCAATTAAAGGATAAACCAAATCAACATCTGGCTAGAATTGATGATGATAATGTTGCTACCCCACCAAAACATTCTGAACACCCCAGGGAAATCCCTACTAAAAAAGAACAAAATAGAACCCCTATTCGTGAGGCAGATAAACCCCAGGTCAAGCAGGGAAGAAAAGTTGCCTCCCCTGTCCATGGTAAAGACCAAACAAATGGCACCAGTCGACCTCTGTCAGCCTCCTGGGGGTCTGACTCACAGAAGTCTCTCTCCCCAGGGGGTGCTCCCCCTCCCAAACAGAAGCCTCAGAAAGAGGCTGTACATGGACCCCCTCTCAGTGCCACTCCTCCTCCTTTGGTAGAATCAAGTCGACCAGTAGCAGCCGCAAACAAGTATGATCCTCGCCTAGAAACCTATACCAACCACACCAATGAGGATTCTGGGATAGCTGGCCTCACTCCAGAGGACCATTACAGAGAAAACCAGGAGGATGTCTTGGAAAGGTAGGTTTAGTATATCACACAGGTGTGATGTCATACAGGTAGGTCTGTTAAACTCATACAGGTGTGATGTCATACAGGTAGGTCTGTTCCAACTCATACAGGTGTGATGTCATACAGGTAGGTCTGTTCCAACTCATACAGGTGTGATGTCATACAGGTAGGACTGTTTCAACTCATACAGGTGTGATGTCATACAGGTAGGTCTGCTAAACTCATCCAGGTGTGATGTCATACAAGTAGGTCTCTTCCAACACATACAGGTGTGATGTCATACATGTAGGTCTGTTAAATTCATCTAGATGTGATGTCATACAGGTAGGTCTGTTAAACTCATACAGGTGTGATGTCATACAGGTAGGTCTGTTCCAACTCATACAGGTGTGATGTCATACAGGTAGGACTGTTTCAACTCATACAGGTGTGATGTCATACAGGTAGGACTGTTAAACTCATACAGGTGTAGTGTCATACAGGTAGGTCTGCTAGACTCATCCAGGTGTGATGTCATACAAGTAGGTCTCTTCCAACACATACAGGTGTGATGTCATACATGTAGGTCTGTTAAATTCATCTAGATGTGATGTCATACAGGTAGGTCTGTTAAACTCATACAGGTGTGATGTCATACAGGTAGGACTGTTCCAACTCATACAGGTGTGATGTCATACAGGTAGGACTGTTAAACTCATACAGGTGTAGTATCATACAGGTAGGTCTGCTAAACTCATCCAGGTGTGATGTCATACAAGTAGGTCTCTTCCAACACATACAGGTGTGATGTCATACATGTAGGTCTGTTAAACTCATCTAGATGTGATGTCATACATGTAGGCCTGTTACAACTCATATAGGTGTGATGTCATAGTCATGTCTGTGAAACTCATACAGGTCTGATGTCATACAGGTAGGCCTGCTACAACTCATACAGGTGTGATGTCATACAGGTAGGTCTGTTCCAACTCATACAGGTGTGATGTCATACAGGTAGGTCTGTTCCAACTCATACAGGTGTGATGTCATACAGGTAGGTCTGTTCCAACTCATACAGGTGTGATGTCATACATGGTTGTGCTTAACTGTTAGTCAACAGTATACACTACCAGGCAAAAAGAAGAATGTTTAGTAGATAATACAAGGACCTGTAATGACCATCCAACTATATACTCTTATTAGAATGTTTAATACTTTGTCAAAATAACAACACTTCAATAAAGTCGTATAAATGTTTGATAGGAGGAAGCGAGAAAGTGGGGAAAAACAACGACGAGATGCGGAGCTACAAAATCGTCTGAAGGCTGACCAAGAGGAACGGCAGCAAAAGGAAAAAGATATCCGCGACAAGGAATGGGAACGTCACGAACAACTGGAAGAAGAACGCAGACGCAAGGACGAGCTGGAGAAACGACAAAGGGAGGAAGAAAAAAGAAGAAAGGAGGAGGAGGATAAACAGAGAGAACTTGATGATGAAGCAAAACGGGAACAGGAAAGAAATTTAGATCGACTTTCAGCTTCAGATGAGGTAAGATACAAAAGTTACAGAGACAACAAGCAACTAGATAGTAATAAATAGATTTTTGTGATTTTAATTAATTTGTTAACAGACATCAACAGTCTGTAAAAATTGATATAATCAGTGGTGAAAAGATGAGGAGGAAGGCCTATTGTTAAGATATTGTGGGAAAGTCTCCAGTCAGTTAAACAAGTTATGGCATTGTGGTTCTTACTGTAATATCACTTGTTTATTTTAATAAGGTTGACAAATTTTCAAATATTGAATTCAGCGTGCACATATTTTGTTGAAATGTTTGAATTGATTTGTTAGAGTGCCAAAGGTAAGATTTTGTCTGGGAGACTTAGCAGTGTGAGTGGTCATCCTGATGGAACGTCCACTCCTAACTCTGTCAAGGTCACTGTCCAGCTTAATGGCAACCGTGTGACAGATGTTAACGTCAACGTGGACAGTGAGGAGGGCAGAAAGTTAGCGTCTTTTGATAGAAATAGCTCAACTGTACGAAGGTCAAACTCACAAACTACAGGATGTCTCACAGACAGAGAAGACAGTGGTATAGACAGAGGTTACCATAGTGATAAAACCACTCCCACATCAAGGTCAGGTCAGGGTCGCCATAATAATACCAGCATACAGGAATCTGACAGCAATGAAAAATTCGCTGAAAACAAAGACAGTAATCATAGGCTTGCCTACCAAAATGATGTTGATGGAACTAGAACAGACCAGGATCATACTCAGGGTCAAGGTCACATAGAACAAGACAAAAGGGTTAATAAAAATGATGATGGACCTCATAATCCCACATCAGAGGATTATCAAAGTCTTTCCAAAAGTCAAAACGAAAGTAACGACAAAGTGCAATATGAACAAGTCCTTCAAGGAGGTAGTGTTGTTGATGAACAGAAAAATCATGAAAATGGCCAAAATGAAACAAAGGTTAAATTGCAAAATGAAGTGAGGGACAGTAAAGATGTAAGTGAGAGTCAGGTTTATAAGGAAAGTTTACCTGATCAAGTCAACAATTTGAGTAAAAATTTGACAGACCAAAGTCAGCAGTCTAGTAACATTGGGGATACTCATCACACAGAGCCAGTGGTGTCAACGTCTGTTGAGGCATCAGTAGAGCCTAAAACAGTGGTGTCAGGGAGTCAGTATGTAGACCAGGGACACGGGGAGATCCCTCAGCCAGTTCTTCAGTCTGGGGCTTTACAGGCACAGAGTGGAAACAGTGGTAGTAGAAAAACACCTTCTCGTGGTAAACACAAAGAAGTGTCCTGGTCTGATGATGTCATAGACAATGAGTCCCCAACCCCTAGTAGGCATAGTAACAGGCTTGACCCAGGGCAACAGTCCAGTAGGGAAGGCAGTCAGCTGGGACGGAGGTCAGATGAGGTTAGGAACATTTTTGTCCCCCAAAAAACCAATCAGGTACGACCAGGGACATATACACGTCCTCAGTCGTCGTTTCAGGGGCCACGTCGTATGTTGTCTGTACAAGCAAACAGTCAAGTTTCTAATGAATCTCCAAGACGTCGCTCACAGGCTCGGGTGTCACAACCAGTTGTTCCCAGGATACACCTAGATTCAGACAGTAGTGTTGACTCACAACAGAATCGACAAGGAACATTCAATGTCGTTCATACCCCATCAGGCTGGCACACACAGAGGGGTTCTAGACGCAGTGTGGTGCCTCCCCAAGATGGCTACCAGACAGATGTCAGTAACCAGGACAGCATTGAACCCCCTCCTGGAGAAAAAGTAATACAGCACATGTGAGGAAGCAGTGTGTCACAACACGTGTGATAAAACAGTGTGTCACAACACGTGTGATAAAACAGTGTGTCACAACACGTGTGATAAAACAGTGTGTCTTGTCACATTTGAGGAAACAGTGTGTCACAACACGTGTGATGAAACAGTGTGTCTTGTCACATGTGAGGAAGCCATGTGTCACAACACGTGTGATAAAACAGTGTGTCTTGTCACATGTGAGGAAGCAGTGTGTCACAACACGTGTGATAAAACAGTGTGTCTTGTCACATGTGAGGAAGCAGTGTGTCACAACACGTGTGATAAAACAGTGTGTCTTGTCACATGTGAGGAAGCAGTGTGTCACAGCACGTGTGATAAAACAGTGTGTCTTGTCACATGTGAGGAAGCCGTGTGTCACAACACATGTGATAAAACAGTGTGTCTTGTCACATGTGAGGAAGCAGTGTTTCACAACACGTGTGATAAAACAGTGTGTCTTTTCACATGTGAGGAAGCAGTAGGTCACTTCACAGTTTGTCAAAGCAGTTTGTGTCACTATCATGTAAATTTATGTGCAACAAGTATTGTCACATCACAAGTTCCAAAGCAATGTGTCTCAAGTGTCAAAGTAGTCATGTCATGTGTGACAAAGTGGGGGTGGGGTAAGGGGCAGTCTGGCCGTGTGTTATGACAAGTGGGTCAACTAGTGAATTTAATTTAGTAGGAAAATATGTTTCTGAGATTCAAAGCTGTAATCATTTTCTTTCTTCTACTGTCTATATCACATTTTGTGAGGTAAATTGTGATTTCAATACGACTGCATTTCGAGTCGGACTCCCGCTGATATTTACTTTGCAGCTGTGTAACTTATTACAGACACCTGTGTAGATAAAGCCCAAGATTTAATAACACAAATTATATATTCCATTAATCCCTGAAAATCAACTTTTTAAAGATCTTATCAAATGTTCCTAATATCTTTTAATATATGCTAATCTGTTATCAGTCTATATTAACTCTCAACAGTTTACATGTTTGCGAAAAGTGTATGTGCCACTCGTTTCTTAAAACCAGCACCAAAACATCAGTAGTTACCCAACTTGTATATGTAATTAGAATATCACAAAATATTTGTACAAAATTTACAACCTTTCCTGGAGTACACCAGGGCTTATATGTATAATAATGACTTATTCAATATGTCTTTTTATTGTAGGAGCTGAACCGTTTCCCTTCTCCTCCACCCCTGAAGATGTCTACCCCTTCATCCTCTAAAGGCCCACGAGAGTCACGTGGGGGTTCAGACACAGAGAGGGGCCAACAAGGGAAAACTGAAAGTAGGTTATAGGACTCTGAGACCTAGGTGAAAGGTCACGGCCTTTCCTTGCTGGGATTAATGACTGACTAAAAGGCTTGCTATGGAGAGTTAGATGCTGACTTATTTAGATGTAGAAGTAGACAATAGATTTGTGTCAGGTGATAGTAAACAATAAAGTAGGTTTGTTGTAGAGTACCTGTAGTATCAGACCTAGAAACGCATGAATATTATTGTGAGTATAACTTAATTGACTTCTGATCCAAAACTTCCTGAACATCAATTAGTAAATGTTGTGAGGGCTGTTAGGATAACTCGGATGGTATACTTGTTTTTAGTAGGCGTATGAACCCCGGCATCAGGTATCAATATTTTAAGGACATTTGCATGAAATATTAATCAGATACGCATACACCTGCAGGACACTTGGGTATAAAACATGTGAACACGTGCACCATTCTCCTTTTTGTTGTTATGGTAATTCTGTTTCACAAGGTCATTGCTTTCATCTCTCTACCAAAATACATCATGCAGATATGGTTACAACATTTGTCTTTTTTCTTGCTAAATTGTACTGAAAATTCAGTCATGTACAAAAAACTAAAGACTGATAAGTATTTTTAGAAGGCACAATAATGGAACAGAATTTCTATATAAAATTCCTTGGTTTTTGGTTTACAAGGGTGTACCAGAGGTGTCCAGCAATATGATTAGGGAAATTCTGATAATACACAGTACCGTAGAAAACAAGTCCCAAACTCATGTTTAAAACATTGAAGAATTCTGAATAATGTTTTCCATATGCTAATTGAAAATTAAGGGTTGATTAATGTTTTCTTAAACAACTAAAAGTGTACAGCTTTCGGAGTTGTTTTTTTTTTTTTTTTTTTTAAAGTTTGGCGTCATCTTTAGAAATCGCTGAAATGTTTTGAAAATCAAATGGTTTTCCTTTATGATAACATCTTTAGATTCCACCACGACTGTGTGAAATCAATGATTGGTAAATATGTTGTTTACTATCTAGTTTGCTGCACATCTGTGGACATACAGGATTGCTAACACTTGCTCTGCTCCCATCTCTAGTAGAAACGGAAAATTCTCATCTCAAACCTCCTTAATTTTATATCAAACACCTCTGTCTCTTTCAGCAATGGGTGGATGATATTAATATTTATTATTTCTTGTATTTCAGATGTCATTGAATAAACGTTTGAAGAGTTATAGGTATCTGTTTAAATGATATGACTTGTGTTACAGAGGAACGGTTGATGCGTGAACTAGAGCTGGCGAGAGAAGCACGGAAAACTACTGAGAAACAGAGAGAGGACTTAGTGAAAAAGGCAAAACTGCTCCAGAACAAGATGCAGAATAGGCGAAACCATGGTATTGATAAAGCTGAAACCCAATCACTCCCACAGTCACCATAGTTGTCACTCTCACAGCCAACATAGTTGTCACTCCCGCAATCAATGTAGTTGTCACTACCTCAACCAGCATAGTTGTCACTTCCTCAACCAGCATAGTTGTCACTCCCTCAACAAACACAATTATAACTACCTCAACCAACATGGTTGTCATTCCCTCAACCAACACAATTATCACTCCCTCAACCAACATGGTTTTCACTCCCTCAACCAACAGTTATCACTACCTCAACCAACACAGTTATCACTCCCTCAACCAACACAATTATCACTACCTCAACCAACATGGTTGTCATTCCCTCAACCAACACAATTATCACTACCTCAACCAACATGGTTTTCACTCCCTCAACCAACACAATTATCACTACTTCAACCAACATGCTTGTCACTCCCTCAACCAACAGTTATCACTACCTCAACCAGCATAGTTATCACTCCCTCAACCAACAGTTATCACTACCTCAACCAACACAGTTATCACTCCCTCAACCAACACAATTATCACTACCTCAACCAACATGGTTGTCACTCCCTCAACCAACACAGTTATCACTCCCTCAACCAACATGGTTGTCACTCCCTCAACCAACAGTTATCACTCCCTCAACCAACATGGTTGTCACTCCCTCAACCAACACAATTATCACTACCTCAACCAACATGATTTTCACTCCATTACTGAAAAAGTAGACCCCATTAGTTGTACTAGGGATAGAAACAGAGGTGCTGTACAGTAGTGGATTATAATAAAAGGGAAATAACTCCTACTGTAAGTTCATTATATAGATAAATTGTGTCCCAATAGCTGTTGCAGAAGACACCTAGGACCACTGATAGGACACTTACTCATTAATAAGTACATAATGTATGTTTTTTTTTGTTTGAAATTTAGCACGTGATTTGTGGAAGAAGAGATATTTTGAAGAAAAGAAGCGTACATCTCCTCTAGAAGAACAGTGTAACCGTCTACGACACGAGCTTGAGATTATTCACCGGAAACTGATGAATACGTTGGAGGGCCCTGCAAAGGACAAGTCAACACAGCGTATGGGTGACCTCAAACCCTCATTACAGGTTGGTCAATACAGGGCCTCGTATGATCCCTACAATTCCTACCAGCCATACAAGGAATTAGCACCACCAATTCACTACCCGAGAATTTCCAGACAACTCACTGGAGAATTTCATCCCCCAATGAGTCTCTACACTTATCGAAACGATAAAAAGCTTTCCAAACCTCCACCCAGCTATGCATCTAAATATGAGACACGTCATTATCGTTCACCAGCCGAGCAAATCTATAGTACTGACAGGTCAACCAGTTACTATGTTAACCCTAAATCTGCTTTGTATACACCCTCCAACACCGGATCTAGTATACAGTCAACCCCTAAAGAGTCCTCTTTTGTGTCCCCTTTGGGATCCCCTAAACGGATTCGGTATGGATATAACGGCAGTGCCTATATGTCACCTGCAGGTGGTCGTAGGAGGAGTGCACTTGCTTCTACAGGACATTCGAGTAGATCTTCTGGCAAAAGTGTTCAGTTTGTTGAGCGTGTGTATTATATCTGAATTTAAATAGTACTTCATGATCTTAAGTTGGGAATCATATCCTAGGGTTGGAATCCTGAGGGAGAATCATATCCTAGGGTTGGAATCCTGAGTGAGAATCATATCCTAGGGTTGGAATCCTGAGTGAGAATCATATCCTAGGGTTGGAATCCTGAGTGAGAATCATATCCTAGGGTTGGAATCCTGAGTGAGAATCATATCCTAGGGTTGGAATCCTGAGTGAGAATCATATCCTAGGGTTGGAATCCTGAGTGAGAATCATATCCTAGGGTTGGAATCCTGAGGGAGAATCAAATCCTAGGGTTGGAATCCTAAGTAAAAATCATATCCTAGAGTAGGATTCCTGAGTGCGAATCAAATCCTAGGGTGGATACCCTTAACTTACATCCCAGAGTAGGAATCCAGTTGGATTTAAGCAAGTCTGGAAACTGAAGGCATGTTTACTGTGATTCCGCGTACAGAAACTGCATGGTCAAAGTCTTGTATGTATGTAGGATTGAGAGGTGGAGAGGATGGGGATAGGAAATAAACTCATCCCAATAATGGTGATTCATGTCAGAATTTTCTTATGCACCAGACTCATTAATGAGAAAATTTGACAAAGTCTCAGATAACATGTGTTTTTTTACCTTCGATCAATAGAAATGATATGTGACTTAACATAATTCTTTATTTATTTGTTTATTAACTTATCTACTTCTTCATGAAAATAAAAGTGATTAAGTAGTTTCTGCTATATAATAGATATGTGAAAAATATGGGACATCAATATGAAGAATTTTCTGGGCTAAAACTGTTCTTCTTTACCAGTTATAGTCAAACATTCACTCAGATTGGTAAGAAATATGTTTGAAGGAGACAGCTATCTTGAATATATTTAAAATGAAGCCTGTTTTATGATACATACGTTATATGATAAGTACTCGTTTTAATTCAGTCTTTTTGAAATCAGTTGCTCAATTATTTTCAAGAAAATGTGATTTTAAAAGATATGAGATTAACATTTTAAACTGTATTGATATCACAACATCATCATGGTGTGTATTGACTATTGAATAATCAATTTCACACTTTTGCCCTTCCTTGTGGGCAAAAATACAATTTCATGTATTCGCAATATCGGTTTTGAAATTTGGACAAAGCGATACAGGTGAGGCATAATAACCCTTAAATCTAATGTATAATGGGGTGCTATGTTTTTATTTTCTACTTGCACTTAAGAAAATGGAAATGCTAGTTTGAGGTGTTATTGAAATCCTGTTTTGTATTTTAAGTAAATATATCAGTAGATTGCTGGGCCATCAATGCATTACCGGACAGGTTGTTTCAATCTTTACTGTCAGAATATCAACATATTCAGCTTGAAATGTCATTTCTTTTATTGGACTTCCAAACGACAAGCTTTTCACTGATTAGATTTTAGGGTTGGAACTATTTCATTGTTAAGGCATGATACATGTTTTACAAACAGCCATCAGTAATTACAGCATAAAAATCTTTCTGCTTATCACAAGAAAAAGACATGACACTATTTTAAATGGATATTAATCAGTACTGAAGTTGTGTGTGATGTTTTATTTATAATTGTGTTGCAAATGTTTTTGTTTATTTGAACTCCATATGCAAATCAGATTTGCTCTTTGCTGAAGTAGGTTACAAAGTACACACAAAACTTTGTTAGTTTGCCATTGGCTGAAATTCGACCCTGAGGTCACCATAGAAACGGCTTGCCTGCTGATCAAATTGATTTAGTGATATTTTAAGGTGAAAAGTAGTTCTCAGTTTATAAATAGATTTAGGTAAGAAAACATTTACTTATTGTTGATGACAGAATTGCCTTCTTGTTATTAATAATTTATGTGACAAACATCTGTTATGATTTTTATCGAAACCTTATACTGTACATGAAGCATTTGAATTTTATTTAATTAATGTTTATACAAATGAAAATCTACATTTTTTTCTAATTTTTTTTTTTTTTTTTCAATTTTCCTCCTATGCAGTTTACATGTATAGTGATAATCACCGGAAATCAAAATGCAAATAGTTTGAGCATTTTGCAATATTGAGTTGTATTGTATTGTCTTGTTAGTATGACAGAAACAAAGCAAAAGATCTGTGATAAAAAAAAAATATGTTGCCAAATATTTGTAAACATCTTACATGTATTTTGTGAAAATTGAGATGTTGAATTCCATTGTAGTCATATCGTTGTTTTCTTATGAATAAATCTTTCACATTTTGCTTCATATTGTGTGTTTTGTGACCCACAGAGTAATTATAAGATACAGGCAGCACGACTCATGCATGAAATCGAAGACATTCGACGTCGCCTTGAAAATGCCAAGATGAAACTAACAGCAGAAATGAAGGTATGTCACCTGACTGAAGTCACTCAAATCCTTGCTCTCCTTCACACAAACTGTATCCTGATTAAATGCACGTTCCTCCGCTCTAGCCAATCACAAAATTTGTTACAAAATCATTTGGCTATAATTTATGTAGGCATGCTCTTACTTAAGCACCCTAACCTACTAACCAACTTTCTTCTCTCAAACCTCAGCTCGCGGCGAGACAGAATGAGGTTTTAGAGGAGAACGACCTCACTACTATTCTTGTCTGCATTTGAGATACTAAAAGTATTCTTAATATATAATCAACACTACAGTGCTGCCACAGGCAAGGTTTTATACCCGTCGTACAATTTGATAATATACAGCACATGAACATGTACTAGATATAAAACCTTTCTTGTTGGCAGGACTGTTGGTACAGAATTTAGCACCAGACTAAAACACACAAGCCTTTACCATCACAATTTTTTGACAAAATTCTTTGTGAATAACAAGTCATTATGATTTTTCATTTTTCATTTGAAAATTATGAAAAAAAAATTTAAAGTTTAACAGACTTTTTCATTTTTCATTTGAAAATTATGAAAAAAAATTTTAAAGTTTATGTTAAACTGACATCTATAATGTACATGTTTTTAAGATTGGCGAGTACATTTATTGGTTCCATGGTTATTAGTCAAATGGTGAGAAATTGAACTTTTTGTGGCTTCTAATGCAACCTACAAAGTTAACCTAATGGGCTCGACAAGTCGTCTCAAATATTTCGACTATTAATAACAAAACAGATCATCTGTATGTTGCTATATTTTTCCACTTGAATCTGGCAGCCATTGTCCTAGTAATTCTTTTTCTAGACCGCTGTGTAATATTTTGTCGAGGTAAATATTACATAAGACAACATCTAGATACAGAGGCTGTACTGGTGTTGTATCGCAGCTTGTTGGTGGGGGAAATTAGGACATAACTACTATTTTGAAGTTTTCAAATCCTTTAAAACTTGGTTTGGGGTCGGAGATCTTTGTCAAATTGAGCAAAAATTCTCTTTGAAAATTTAATTTCCTTTTTTATTAAACCAAAATACATTTCATGAGGTATCTCAAACCTATTACACTTTGCTTTATGCTGCTCTTTCTTCACTGAATTCTATTAGTTATCTAAACATAGTCTGTACAGTGGCTACTTAAAGGAACTTTTGGACACAATTGGGATCTTTTCTACATTAATTTTCTCTGATTTCCTGATGGTGTCGATCTTAAAATGTAGATATTGCCCGTCTAAATATTAACCTGTCTAAATTATTGACTTGTTTTTTTTACCTGAAGAAAAGTTATGTCTGAGGTGACTTGTGGAGCCTGCTGCTGGAAATTTGGTTGTTTTTATCATACCTTAGAAAAGCTACTTCATTGATGCTTAATAAAACAGATTTTAGTCATTTTTGAATGCTGCTAATCTGTTTACCAAAATCAATTAATTCTAAAAATGATTGAGGAATACCTGTTTGGGTTCTATTTTGAGTTGTGAAATAAATCTTATTTGCTTTATAGATTTTCTTTAATTTGATTTTTATCGAAATATTTACATTTATAATTTTTAAGAAGCTTCAATAATTGCAATGGTGCAGTATGTTAGATATGAATGTACCAGAATTCATGCTAAACATGGTGTTAATTTTAAAAGGCTGGTCACAGAGGTTTAGATCTATATTTGCAAATTTTTATACAAGACTCGTAGATCTGCCACTGGGAAAAAATGAAAGGTCAAAAACTATGACAGAACAATAAAATGATTTACATATATATTTTTTAGTTGAAGAACAACAAAGTACAATTCTAATGGAACATTCATGAAATGATATTAAGGAATTTAATTCTACTTTTACGCAAGATAATCTATGTTCCTATCAAACCAACAGAGATCAATCAATTTTACAACGGATATGTAAGAGAAAGGCTTTGGATATCAGCGTAATGGTAATGTGCTTGTGTCGTAGTCTGTGAATACAGTACTTTATATCTCTCTTCTGTTTCTACTCAAATTCAAAATCTCTCTTTTTTTTCATTTCTTAGTTAATCTATTGACACAATTTTCAATCAATAATATTGATTGATTGCTGTTCTTAAAAAAAAAAGAAGAAAGAATTTAAAAAAAAAAAAAATAGGAAATAAATTTGAATGTACTGACCAGTTCTTTAACTTCCATTTCGAAACAATTCCTTCCTGAGATCAACAAGTAGCTTTTTTTGTTTGCTATATTGTTAATGTTCATGTAAATGTTTAATGTCTAATTGTTGTGTAAAATAACAATGGAGTTGTGGTACCTGTCTTTTAGAATAAGGTGGGTGTGGCTATAACCACCTTTTATGATAAAGTGGGTGTGGCTGTATATATATTTTATGATAAGGTGGGTGTGGCTATGTCTACTTTTTATAATAAAGTGGGTGTGGCTATGTCTACATTTTATAATAAAGTGGGTGTGGCTATGTCTACCTTTTATAATTAGGAGAGTATAGCTGTATCTACCTTTTTGTAGGGTGTGGCTGTATCTACCTTTTTATAGGATGTGGTTGTGTCTACCTTTTATAATCAGGCTAGCATGTCCATCTGGGTATGGACACTAGGTGTGTTTACTAACAATGTTGGTGTGGGGGTGCCTGCTAGGCCAGTAGATGTGTTGTGGTCCTTTAGTCCTGACTGAACAGTACAGCCTTACAGTATTACGCTCTGTGTCTCATATATTTAACTCATATATAACTCACTCACCCAGGATGTAGTACTTAGAAAAATTTTGAATTTTTTCCTTTTTATCTTTTGCATGGAAAATTGATAGATTTGCGATGTTTGGAATGGCTTAGAATTTAGAATGTTTATAGTAATTTTAAAAGACCAAAAACTGAAAAATATCAGAGACTCAGTCAGGTGGCCATACTTAGGTTTGGGCTGTTCAGTGTAAGGAGGACAAATGCTCCACAATACAAAAGTGTACATTATGTAATATTGATATGTAAGGAGGGTTTATTGAATCCAAACCCTTAAAAATACCTGATATCGAACAATACATTATACTGGTGCATTCCAACTACACTGTACTAGTATAATGTGTATTACAGCAGGAGTATTGTATCACAATGTACTAGTATAATGTGTATTACAGCTTGAGTATTGTATTACAATGTACTAGTATAATGTGTTACAGCAGGAGTATTGTATTACAATGTACTAGTATAATGTGTATTACAGCAGGAGTATTGTATTACAATGTACTAGTATAATGTGTATTACAGCAGGAGTATTGTATTACAATGTACTAGTATAATGTGTATTACAGCTTGAGTATTGTATTACAATGTACTAGTATAATGTGTTACAGCAGGAGTATTGTATTACAATGTACTAGTATAATGTGTATTACAGCAGGAGTATTGTATTACAATGTACTAGTATAATGTGTATTACAGCAGGAGTATTGTATTACAATGTACTAGTATAATGTGTATTACAGCTTGAGTATTGTATTACAATGTACTAGTATAATGTGTATTACAGCAGGAGTATTGTATCACAATGTACTAGTAAATGTATTACAGCAGGAATATTGTATCACAATGTACTAGTATAATGTATTACAGCAGGAGTATTGTATTACAATGTACTAGCATAATGTATATTACAGCTTGAGTATTGTATTACACTGTACTAGTATAATGTGTTACAGCTTGAGTATTGTATCACAATGTACTAGTATAATGTGTATTACAGCAGGAGTATTGTATTACAATGTACTAGTATGTGTATTACAGCTTGTGTATTGTATTACAATGTACTAGTATGTGTATTACAGCTTGAGTATTGTATTACAATGTACTAGTATAATGTGTATTACAGCTTGAGTATTGTATTACAATGTACTAGTATAATGTGTTACAGCAGGAGTATTGTATTACAATGTACTAGTATAATGTGTATTACAGCAGGAGTATTGTATTACAATGTACTAGTATAATGTGTATTACAGCTTGAGTATTGTATTACACTGTACTAGTATAATGTGTATTACAGTGGGAGTATTGTATTACAATGTACTAGTATAATGTGTATTACAGCAGGAGTATTGTATTACAATGTACTAGTATAATGTGTATTACAGCTTGTATTACAATGTACTAGTATAATGTGTATTACAGCAGTATTACAATGTATTACAATAGTATAATGTGTATTACAGCTTGAGTATTGTATTACAATGTACTAGTATAATGTGTATTACAGCAGGAGTATTGTATTACAATGTACTAGTATAATGTGTATTACAGCTTGAGTATTGTATTACACTGTACTAGTATAATGTGTATTACAGCAGGAGTATTGTATTACAATGTACTAGTATAATGTGTATTAAAGCAGGAGTATTGTATTACAATGTACTAGTATAATGTGTATTACAGCTTGAGTATTGTATTACAATGTACTAGTATAATGTGTATTACAGCAGGAGTATTGTATTACAATGTACTAGTATGTGTATTACAGCTTGAGTATTGTATTACAATGTACTAGTATAATGTGTATTACAGCTTGAGTGTTGTATTACAATGTACTAGTATAATGTGTATTACAGCTTGAGTATTGTATTACAATGTACTAGTATAATGTGTATTACAGCTTGAGTATTGTATTACAATGTACTAGTATAATGTGTATTACAGCTGGGAGTATTGTATTACAATGTACTAGTATAATGTGTTTACAGCTTGAGTATTGTATTACAATGTACTAGTATAATGTGTATTACAGCAGGAGTATTGTATTACAATGTACTAGTATAATGTGTATTAAAGCAGGAGTATTGTATTACAATGTACTAGTATAATGTGTATTAAAGCAGGAGTATTGTATTACAATGTACTAGTATAATGTGTATTAAAGCAGGAGTATTGTATTACAATGTACTAGTATACTTCATATCACAACTAAAATTAATTATTACATTGTACTGGTATGCAATGTGTTCTATCTTATATGATGTATATATTGTATATATAGTATAATAGTGTACTAGTATGCTTTGTACAACAATGTATTATTTATTGTGTACTAGTATACATTATACAATATATTGTAATATGAATTTAAGTGTACTAGTATACTGTCATCTAAATATGATTGGTAACCCAGAAGATTTTTATCTTGAAGACAACAAGACCTTCAAATGAAAATCTATTGCCTTCCGTGACTGCACAATGTTGTCAACAAATACTGGAAAGCCATACCAGTAGTATAGCACTTAGCAACACTTGTATTTAATGTCCATGTCCCTTCGTTGTTGTTTTATCTAGCTACGCAACCAGGCTGAGACAGAGCTGAGAGCAATGAGGGCAGAACTTATACAGAAAAAGATCAATCGTACATTGACACGTCACCAACAATACCCATCAGCGATCTCTGTATCTGACCCGTACCTTAACCATACAGCCATCACTCCTCGCTCCTAAAACCAGTTTCCAGGTGTAAACGGAGTATCTAGCAGGAAGGAAATAAGATTATATGGTCAACATTCAATGATATATCAATATATTTCTGTCGCTTAATAGATTCAGGGAGAAAAATAAAAAATGTTGCCGAATTTGTGTATATAATGACTGAATGATCTTATGAATACTCATGGAGGTCACGGGAAGAAGGATGGATAACGGAGTTCCGCACCGGGCCGGAAACATGATAAACCAGAGGCCTTCTCATTATGATTATACTGCTGGTAAATTAAGCATCTTAGATACGAGTTTAATATTGCTGTTAAAATGATTATGTGGGGGAAATTGTTTCTTGTAACAGAAGTCGTAGATAGGCTTATAAATTATTTTTAATCAAAGAAAAGAGACATTTTGCTTCTGTGGGTCAGCAGATCTATATTCTGTGAACTCTTCTAGTTCCTGTACAAGGATTTTGTAGTTAGTATGTTACATCGTTTATTTATACGCTGGGAGATTTCAGTATTTACTTGTTAAAAGTCTTCGTAGATTTCTGATGTAGGAACAGTCTCTTAAATGATACAATGGTGCTTATATTTACTCCAGAACACAACAGGTAGTCTGTTTTATCAAATATAAGTAAACGTTGGATTGTCGTAAAACAACATCTGTATCTTAGTTATCATACAAGTATTGTTTTTTTTTTTTTTTGTCATTTAAAATCAGTTTGCCTCCTCTTTGTGATAGCAAACTATTGAGATCTGGGACTGTTGTTTGCAGCATGTCTAAGATTTAACAGAATTTATTTGTTAGAAATTATCACAACAAAGGATAAAAGACATGTACATTAAAGAGCACATTCCCAGAGTAGCTTTAACTTGTTTTGTTGAGGTCTATTGTGATGAGTGACTGTCATTTGTACATAAACCCAGTTCTGAAGAGAAATATGTTGTCAATCATACTCAAAATATAATGTAATCACGAAGATTATAAATAGACTCAACAAAGAAAAATTATAAATACTACGTAGATCATATAACAAATTTTGAAAGAGCATATTTACAGTTGGGGAAACTTACATACAACATACAAGCTGAAGGAATATACATACAGGCTGGGGAAACTTACATACGACATACGAGTTGAAGGAACATATATACAGGTTGGGGAAACTTACATACGACATACGAGTTGAAGGAACATATATACAGGCTGGGGAAACTTACATACAACATACAAGCTGAAGGAACATATATACAGGCTGGGGAAACTTACATACGACATACAAGCTGAAGGAACATACATACAGGCTGGGGAAACTTACATACAACATACAAGCTGAAGGAACATACATACAGGCTGGGGAAACTTACATACAACATACAAGCTGAAGGAACATATATACAGGCTGGGGAAACTTACATATAACATACAAGCTGAAGGAACATATATACAGACTGGGGAAACTTACATACAACATACAAGCTGAAGGAACATACATACAGGCTGGGGAAACTTACATACAACATACAAGCTGAAGGAACATATACACAGGCTGGGGAAACTTACATACAACATACAAGCTGAAGGAACATATATACAGGCTGGGGAAACTTACATACAACATACGAGTTGAAGGAACATATAGACAGGCTGGGGAAACTTACATACAACATACAAGCTGAAGGAACATATATACAGACTGGGGAAACTTACATACAACATACAAGCTGAAGGAACATATACACAGGCTGGGGAAACTTATATACAACATACGAGTTGAAGGAACATATAGACAGGCTGGGGAAACTTACAACATACAAGCTGAACAAACATATGAAGACAACTGAACATACATCATACACCGCTCGTCCGCTGAAAGTGGACTTAAAATCCTTTACATAAATAGATGAAATCATACAAGATGGTTAAACGCATGGGTTAGTTAAAGTAGAAAATATTTGGAGTATGTACAAGTCCGACTCGGAACAGTGTCAGATATTTTGTAGGGATTTGTACATTAAAGCTTTTGTGTTAGAAATACAAACAGACCTATTTATTATCCTTATATATATATATATATATTTTATTGTAGTAAAATGTTATGCTACATGAAAAGCCGCTGTGATAAAGTGTACATAATTTGAAGTTTGTAGAAAACCTCACATCGTTATATTCATATGACTTTTTACATGGTCTTTGTTCCCAATAATCTATTGTGTTGTAAACCTATATGTGATTTACACTTAAAACCAATCTTAGTTTGAAGCAGTTCCTCAATTTATCATTTGACTGTGTAGTGTGATTTTAATTTACTTGTATATGTATTATTTCACAGAAACATTAAGCAAATTTTCCAGCAATAGTTTCTGCATTAAATGTTTTCATTATAGTACAAAATTCATGTCATTTATACACATAAATATATATATATATAATTATGAAGGATATTTCTAAGAAAGAGTTGCTTTATCAATCTAATTACACTTTAGTATCCGTCATTAATGTCGGTCTGACCAATGTTCAACTCCAGTGAATTATCAGTGATGACTTTTTTCATTATGGCATTTTTAGAAATCAGTATTAGTTCTACATCATTATATGGTTGGTCTTTCTTATACACAAACTACACCGTTCTATGTTATCAAATCTAGACTATTTGTAATGATCCATGAAATTTTTGGGAAATACTAATCTTAAGATTTTAAAGATAAAATATTTCATATCTAGTTTTTTTTCTAGTCACAAGTATATGTGGTACCACTAATTTTAAACTGAAAAGATGGTATGGCATTTATTTCAGATAAATGCTTAGTATCACAAGTAACGGTAAATCACACGACAGGTGATACTGGTACTACATGTATTATTAAAAGTTTTTTTTTTTTTAAACAGATATATTTTTATACTGCTGCTACTGTTATTTTTTTCAGAGATATAATTTATACAGTTGTGTTGTTTTTCTTTGTTGTACACTCTGTCAAGAAGTACATTGTACAACCATTGTACAGACAGTGCCTATGACATTTCTATTTTTCTTCATTCATGCAAGGATCTGCTGTGCCTTTTAAGGGTGGTCTCCCCTTAAAAATATTTTCTTTGTTCATTCAAGGATCTACTTTGCCTGTTAGCAGTTGTGATGTTCGGATTATTGATTCTACTATTTATGAAAGATAGATATTATTTAAATATGATAACATCTGAATAAATTGGAAATAAAATAAAATTGTCTTCCTTATTGCTCTTTACTTACCAGTAACAACACTGATCATTATCAAATTGGATTGTCTACGCTTTGTAAATGTCCATGAACACCCGGCATAAGACATATTCTATAGGCAGTATGAAAACCAGAACACAAGGCGTAGGACTTATTTTATTGGCAGTAAAAAACAAACAAACAAACAAACAAACAATAGGCAGTTTAAAAAAAACCTTGTGTAGGATTTATTTCATAGTAAAACAATTAGCACACCTTATGTAGGACTTACTCAATAAGCAACATAACATAACTAGAACATTCAACAAAGGGTCTAGCTATTATATACTAAACAAATCGTATTTGACAAAAATGTTTTAAAAAATAATAACTTTACACAATGTAAATTTATTTCATAAAAATGATTATAAACTTTTTTACCATTCTGTGCATTATTCATATTACAGAAATATTCCTGGTATATATGATAGGTATGTAAAATGAACACAAAACAGATACAATGGTGATTTACCTGTTTATGAATCTCATTAGAGAAATTGCAATTTTTACCCTCTGATAGTTCTACATTTTCATGAAAATTTGGATTGTCTTCGTCAATACACAGACAATATACTTTTATTATGAAGTAGTTACCAGTTTACCCTGAAGTATGTTGGGACTGATGTAGAGAAGGAAGTGTCCATGTACACATATATAATACCTGAAGTGCATTCTACCAATTAACTCTGGAATTGTTAAAAAGGTTCGTTATCCATTGTTCAATCCTTCGGATTTTCAAATTTTAAAGAAATGCTTCTAAAATGCAAAATGTTTGTTTTCTTATATACAACAAAAGTCAGTTTTTTATTCATACACGTCAACAAATTTTAATTTTCAACTTCTTGATTTCAGTTTGCTTCTGTCTTGTGTAACATTATAGCAATTTCAAATGTTTTTACTGTTAACGGATCGTTACTACAGGTTAGATGTAGACTGTACTACAGATTAATTTGTACAATAATAGGTAATACAACCATACATTTGCACTTACTGTTAAGATGATGTAAATAACATTGAAATATTTCCTGTTGTGTAATGTAACAAAATGCCCATGGAGCCTGCATCACTCACCTTGTTAATTCAGCAATTTGTCTAACAAAGAATTTCAAGAATTTCTGAAATAATTTCCTTATCTGGGCCACAACCTTGTGGTTAAATACAAGTCAAATCTATAGTTTATGAAAATTGCTTCAGACCAAATCAGGACAGAATCCAAGCATTCCCACAAAAGAAGAAGAATTTTAACGAATTTTCTATATTCCTCCTACTGGGCCCTGCCTGTACAAGCCAAAATACACTGTTAATTCCAGGCACAATGGATCCTTCAGATCAAACTGGGAAAACTCCTGGCATTCCTTCAGAAGAAGACAGATATTAAAGAATTTGTTCTATACCCCCTATTAGCCAGGCAAAGATTTTCCTACTCAGGGGACCCGAGACCAATTATATACATATAATTGAATCCCCTTCACCCAAGAAAGTCTTAAGCTAAATTGAGACAGAATCCCAACATTCCTTCAGAAGAAGAATGATTTAAATGAATTTGTTCTATTTCCCCTTTTGGGACTTGCCCCTCCCATTGTAGGGGCAGAGACCCACCATTTATACAAGATTTGTTCCTCTTCCACCCAGAATGCTTCAAACTAAATAGGAAAAGATTCCAGGCATTTCTTCAGCAGAAAAATTTCAAAGACCATGCTCTATTGGGATCTGCCCTTCCCACCCTAGGAGGCCCCAGCACCCAAAGGGTTTACAAAATTCCCCCTCACCAATGAATGCTGCAGACCAAATTTGGGTAGAATTCGATCATTCCTTCTGAAAAAGAATTATTACAGAACTTGCTACTTTTCCTCCATTTGAGTGAGCCCCTCAGGCTCCTTGGGGCTGAAACCCGCCATTTATACAAAATAAACTTGTTCTCTCTTTCCCAAAGGATACTTCTGGTCAAATTTGCTCAAAGTGGTTTCTGACTAGTAATGATTTTTAGGGAAAAGTTGACAGATGCAAGATGACACAATATGGCATAAACTAACCTATCCTTAAGAATAGGTGAGCTAAAAGTGTACAGACTGGACATGTGATTAAATTAATGACAATTAAAAGATACATTTCAAGTTAAATGCAACATTTAAAAAGCAATAACTTTATCACAATTCTTGTATTATACTGTATAATGCTAGAGGATTCATCAACTAAACTTAACACTAAACAATGCTATACCAGTAAAAAGGTAGATAGTCTGGAAAAAATATAGTTTTCATCTTATCAGCATAACAGAAAAGATCAGAATAAAAACAAAATTCGCCTATGAACAGTCAACTATATACATGTATAAAGTATAATTGAAATTTGCACTAGGGTAAAGAAATATTTAACCTAGAGCTGAAAGATCAATGTATTATCAGCAAAGGATCATAAGTTATAAGACAGGAGCTTTTGCAGAACAGCAACTCTTGTCTCACAAATATTAGTAAAGCTTTTAGGCACTTTAAAGAAACGGACCATTAAGTCCTACAAGGAACATGATTATAAATATTAGTACCATAGTACTACAGTGATGTACTGATGTACTTTCAATACTTAAACCAAAATCTTTTTAACATGATACAGTATGAAATCCAAAAATCTCATTTTATTTTATTAGGGTAAAAAAACAATATTAAAATCATATATGACTGCCTGTCAGCCTTTTTTTTAACCAATTAGCAGTCCCAAATCAAGCAGGGACAACTAGGGACTAAGGCAAAACCTACATCCTAAATTTGAAATAGATCCATCCTGTTCTTTTTCAAGAAATAGCAGTAACAAATTTTCATTGTCAAAATTCAAGATGGCCACCTGTCAGTCATTTTGATTTTCTCATCAGTCTCAAAATTAGCAACTAAGAAGAACCTACATAGGAACTTTGGGAAAGGCCGAAGTAAACAGTCAGAATTCAAGATGATTGTTTTTTAGCAATTTCCTTTTTTTTTTTTTCTAATTTCATCTGTCCCAAAACCTAAAAAGGACATCTAGGGACCAAAGGATAACTACAAATGAAGTTCGAGAAATATTTATCCAGAAAAACTTTTTATTGTCAAATTCCAAGATGGTCACCTCATAACCATTTTTGTTTTTCTGACAAGCACCAGAATTTATGAACAAAACTAGGAACCAAAGGGAACCTTCAAATGAAATTTGAGAAAGATGTACTTTTCAAGAAAAAGCAATTACAAGAATTTGGTTAAGGATGGATGATGGATGGACAACAGATGCAGGGTGTTATGAACAGGCTAAACACCAATGCCAAAGTAAAATTAACTCTCTACTTCACAGAGCTGAGCTAAAACACACTGCTTTATTTCTGCTTTGAAATCTCTTTGGTGATAGCTTTCGTCAGTAGTCACTCAAATATAAACTATATATTGTATCAAGTTAACAACACTGCATCAGCAATCAGTGATGTGCCACTGCTTCAATGAAATATTTCTATAATTTCAAGCCCTTGCAAAGTTTACTACACTCAGATTTTGACGAAGTTGAGTCTGATGATTACACATGTATTTGACCCCTAACCTCTTACATCTGACCCACATGTTCAGCATATGGTCGTGAGAAGTCAATGCTATTGGCCTCCAGATCTTTCACCAATCCCCTGTATTCCTGTCGCAGCTGCTGCTGGAAGCTGTGGAGGAGACGATTACCACTAAGAGACAGGAAGTCGAGGACCAGAATGTTGGACGGAAAGTGCAATCGCTGGTATGAACGTATTTCCTGGGCAGCTTCAATTAAATCCTGGCCTTTGATCCAGTTGTATCTGTGAAACAGCCAATCCAACATCAAAACATGAAATGAATAGGTACTAAACAAGGACATAGTCATCAAGCTCTCCCGTCAATGTTCATTTGTAAAATATGTACATTTAAAGTGAGCAACAGAGAAAAGTAAAGTATTTTTAAACAGTAAATGTTCGGTTTAAAGTTCTACTGAAAATGATCAGTATAATAACAATTTAGTAGCATAATACTGTGAATATTTATAAAATCAGCTTATCATACTTTTTTATTCTCTCATTTTACATATTGGTAATGATAGAATATTTGTCACTAAATTTCAGTGATGCTAGATCAATCAATAGTTCTATTACCGCTCAAGTATGACAAAATCAGTGAAAAAGTTTATACACATTAATAAAATACAATACAGCATTTAATAGTCTGGTACGTACAATTGCAGGAAAGTTACTATCAGTAAAACAAATCATAACCAGTGACAGTGCAACATCACTTCAAACATTAGACTTCTAAAAACATTTTGGAGATTCACTATCATAGGTTGGTTTATTAGGGCTTTTTACTGAATAGTAAAATGACCTCCTGTTATTGTTCTGTTTCTCATCATTATTATTCTTATTCTTCTTCCATGATTTTGTGGCATGTAAATTTCTGAATCATAGCCTTTTAAAGGTCTCTTATCATTACTTCAGGGGATATCCTGTGCAAAGCAATCAGCCGTTCAGATCACAGCTGTCTCGTTAGATATCTTTTGGAATTAGCTGATAATCAAACTTGAAAGTGGTTACTGTGCTAATTCTGCTAAGCAAGTCTCATAAAAGAAATTGATCATTCCTTTGAAAGAAGATGAAGGATCAAGGTAACAAGTGTACTAAAACATTTCGTCAAAATCTGAGCAGTCCTTCAAATGCATGCAGAAAGCAGTATCTGGACAGATGGAAGGACGGATGGAACCCATTTGAATATTATTTGATAAAAAAAATTTGGTGGCTAGGGATAGATATGCAGCAAAATCATCAACATTCTTCTAGGTGCACACATTGACTTAACACTGCTGGCAGGGTCACTGGTGTGGAAGTATGAGCTGGACTGCTTACACCCGTACCCAATGTTTAGGGAGAGAGAGTTGGACTGTTAACACACTTATCCAATGTTTAGGGAGGGAGAGCTGGACTGTTTACACACTTACCCAATGTTTAGGGAGGGAGAGTTGGACAGTTAACACCCTTATCCAATGTTTAGGGAGGGAGAGTTAGACTGTTAACACACTTACCCAATGTTAAGGGAGGGAGAGTTGGACTGTTAACACCCTTATCCAATGTTTAGGGAGGGAGAGTTGGACTGTTGACAAACTTACCCAATGTTAAGGGTGGGAGAGTTGGACTGTTGACACACTTACCCAATGTTAAGGGAGGGAGAGTTGTTAACACACTTACCCAATGTTTAAGGAGCGGAGAGTTGGACTGTTGACACACTTACCCAATGTTAAGGGAGCGGAGAGTTGGTCGTCGTGGAGAGCAGGTGATGGCCATAAGGAAGTTCAGCGCACCAGACTCTGTAAAATATACACCAATTACAATACCATACAACCTCATTCACCCCTTTTCTTCATGTCACCAACAACGTCACATCCTAGAGATACAAAAATACTCTCACAGATCCCTTTTCCTTTGCCAAAACAATGTTCCAGAAGGAATTGATTCCCAATCCCTTCTGTCAACTGTTATGAAAAAGTTATAATTTCTTTATCTAAAAAAAAAAAACCCATGTAAGTCGTGAATCCCATCTCACGATACTCAAGCAGTATCCTGTATCCATTAACAATATGCAGTCTTGATGTAATATGTGGAAAGCCAAGATCAAATTTCATGAAATTCAAAAACAATGCTTAGATGTTCTGCAATATTGCCTAAACCTTACCTAGATGGTTGTTTTTGATTGACAGCTCCTGAAGACTTGGGTGACCTCTCACTGTGTGTATGAACTCTTCACTGCTCACTAGAACGATAACAATGATGAATATCAGCAATGTGTACATGCTACTGGCCAAATACCATGACCCTCGGCCTTTTGGTGATTAAGAAGAAGTCAAAAATGAAAATTGTTTACAACACACGACAAACAAAAAGTGATCACAGTAGGTCACCTGTAAAAATCAGAAATGTGTGCTATCGTTGTAAAGTTGTCCAATATAGTATAAGCAATGTGTACAATAATTGTGATGTTCTACACTATAATATCAACAATTAGTAATTAGTATACTATCATAATAAAAACATAAAGTACATTTTAGCAGAATGGAGTCCAGACAGAAATCATATATATTTACCAAAGGTACTACGGAGCCTGCTGTAGTTGAGGATGAGAGTTTTCAGGGAGACACACTTTTCTATGAACAGTAGCAGGGCCTGCTCCACTGATTCCTCCACCACACGATTGCCACTGAGACTTACCACCTCCATCCGAGTGTTCTCTGAAATATGTCATAAGTCTGCACTTGGTTCCTGTAAACCCTTCCCCACCCCCCTTTCCTTTTTTTTTTTTTTTTGAATAGTTTACTGAATTGGATGAAAATTCTTTAATATGCGATTGCACATGCTTTGTCCAAAGTACAGAAGAGAATCAGACTATCGTTTTACACTGTCTCATAAAACACTACTCTGACAAAATCTCTTGACCAGTAAATCCCTTATAGAGAATTAGGTTATCACTTTGCACTGCATGAAGCACTACTCCGATAAAATCACTTCATGTCTCCAGTAACAGTTGTTTTGAAAAAGTGATAGGATAGAAAAAAACGGAAAATGTGCTATATACCTGCCAAAACCTCCAGGAGTTGAAGAACTTGTTCCTCCTGAAGAAAGCATCCATTTAGTTTTAAATGCATCAGTGCCAGATCATTCTTGACAAGATTCAACAGGGCCGCAAACCCAGACTCTGACAGGGTGTTCATGCTCAGGTCTAACTTCCGGACACCTTGCAACAGCACTGCAATTCAATTAACATAAGATAATTACTGTGTATACAATAAAACTGTTCCACAAGACTTGTTTCACAAACTCAACAGGTACATCTCACTATTTCTCTTTAATTTTTTGTCTGAATTTCAAAAGCATATACAATTATATTACCTGTATCTAGAAATCTTAAGGTATTCTACAACAGGTAAAATAACAGTTCTAATTTAGCAGTTTGCTAGATACCTAGACTACTGATAATTAATCTGTATATTTACCATGTACTTCTATAGTTACCATATTACTGTATGGTTTGGTACATTTATACATAGTTCACTAACCACCAGGGGTTAAAAGCCAACTAATTTCTATAGACTTTGAACACTTACCACCAGGGGACAAAGGGAACACTTACCACCAGGGGACAAAGGGTACACTTACCACCAGGGGACAAAGGGTACACTTACCACCAAGGGACAAAGGGTACACTTACCACCAGGGGACAAAGGGTACACTTACCACCAGGGGACAAAGGGTACACTTACCACCAGTGGACAAAGGGTACATTTACCACCATGGGACAAAGGGTACACTTACCACCATGGGGGACAAAGGGTACACTTACCACCAGGGGACAAAGGGTACACTTACCACCAGGGGACAAAGGGTACACTTACCACCAGGGGACAAAGGGTACACTTACCACCAGGGGACAAAGGGTACACTTACCACCATGGGACAAAGGGTACACTTACCACCAGGCACCAGGGGACAAAGGATACACTTACCACCAGGGGACAAAGGGTACATTTACCACCAGGGGACAAAGGGTACACTTACCGCCAGGCACCAGGGAACAAAGGGTACACTTACCACCCGGGGACAAAGGTTGACTAATTTCTATAGATGTTGTACACTTACCACCTGGGGACAAAGGTTGACTAATCTCTATAGGTTTGGTTCACTTACTACCAGGGGACAAACCACGGGAACACTTACCACCAGGGGGACAAAGGGTACACTTACCACCAGGGAACAAAGGGTACCACCAGGGGACAAAGGGTACACTTACCACCAGGGGACAAAGGGTACACTTACCACCAGGGGACAAAGGGTACACTTACCACCACCTGGGGACAAAGGTGACTAATCTCTATAGGTTTGGTTCACTTACTACCAGGGACAAAGGGACAAAGGGAACACTTTACCACCAGGGGACAAAGGGTACACTTACCACCAGGGGACAAAGGGTACACTTACCACCAAGGGACAAAGGGTACACTTACCACCAGGGGACAAAGGGTACACTTACCACCAGGGAACAAAGGGTACACTTACCACCCGGGGACAAAGGTTGACTAATTTCTATAGATGTTGTACACTTACCACCTGGGGACAAAGGTTGACTAATCTCTATAGGTTTGGTTCACTTACTACCAGGAGACAAAGGGTACACTTACCACCACGGGACAAAGGGTACACTTACCACCAGGGGACAAAGTGTACACTTACCAAAAGGGGACAAAGGGTACACTTACCACCACGGGACAAAGGGTACACTAACCACAAGGGGACAAAGGGTACACTTACCACCAGGGGACAAAGGGTACACTTACCACCAGTGGACAAAGGGTACATTTACCACCATGGGACAAAGGGTACACTTACCACCAGGCACCAGGGGACAAAGGATACACTTACCACCAGGGGACAAAGGGTACATTTACCACCAGGGGACAAAGGGTACACTTACCGCCAGGCACCAGGGAACAAAGGGTACACTTACCACCCGGGGACAAAGGTTGACTAATTTCTATAGATGTTGTACACTTACCACCTGGGGACAAAGGTTGACTAATCTCTATAGGTTTGGTTCACTTACTACCAGGGGACAAAGGGAACACTTACCACCAGGGGACAAAGGGTACACTTACCACCAGGGGACAAAGTGTACACTTACCAAAAGGGGACAAAGGATACACTTACCACCACGGGACAAAGGGTACACTTACCAAAAGGGGACAAAGGATACACTTACCACCACGGGACAAAGGGTACACTTACCACCAGGGAACAAAGGGTACACTTACCACCACGGGACAAAGGGTACACTTACCACCACGGGACAAAGGGTACACTTACCACCAGGGAACAAAGGGTACACTTACCAAAAGGGGACAAAGGATACACTTACCACCACAGGACAAAGGATACACTTACCACCAGGGGACAAAGGGAACACTTACCATCAGGGGACAAAGGGTACACTAACCACAAGGGGACAAAGGATACACTTACCACCACGGGACAAAGGGAACACTTACCACCAGGGGACAAAGGGAACACTTACCATCAGGGGACAAAGGGTACACTAACCACAAGGGGACAATGGGTACACTTACCATCAGGGGACAAAGGGTACACTTACCACCAGGGGACAAAGAGTACACTTACCACCAGGGGACAAAGGGAACACTTACCACCAGGGGACAAAGGGAACACTTACCACCAGGGGACAAAGAGAACACTTACCACCAGGGGAAAAGGTTGACTAATTTCTATAGATATTGTACACTTACCACCCGGGGACAAAGGTTGACTAATTTCTATAGATGTTGTACACTTACCACCTGGGCACAAAGGTTGACTAATCTCTATAGGTTTGGTACAAGCTTGAAAGTCCAACAGCTCAAGTGGTTGACAATTCTCTCCATATCTAGAAACATTTGTGTAAAAAGAATCAACATTAGCTAATGAGCAGACAAAAATATATACAAGATATCCAAGAAGGGGTCTTGTCACTCACCATCATTTGATCTTAATTTGTGCCCTTTTTTTCTCTTCCTTTCTCTGTTTCTGCTCTTTTTAAATGAGATTTTGAAATTCCTTTTAATGCAATAACTATAACGATCTTTTTAACTGATTGCCAAATCAGAGATGGTTGCCTGTTTGCCATTTTCAAATTTCAAAACATATCTATTAGTAATGGGCTTGGTTAAGATTTTGTATGGAATTAAAAAAAGCACTTGGATCTCCAAACTGAGATGTAATTTTACATCATTAGGATATCATAATTACACAGTCCCACACAATTAGTGGTCAAAACTGGGATGCTAACGTGGAGAGGAATGACTGATTTACCATAATACAGTTTATCCTGTGGCTCTATGACTGGGATATATAACTATTCAGCACACAGAACTTTGTGACCAAAAGTATTCACTATTTATCAGGAAAATTATAGCCAAATATGCGACTACAATTGTGAATGAAAAGAAGATGTCACAAAACGAATCAGATTATTCTTATTTACGACCATTTACAACGAAGTCCTATGTAATATATAAACCATATCTTTTCGATGAAAACCCTACTTGAAGTCTGTATGTAGAGTGTGGAGAAACTTCTGGAAGAAGGATGGGTGTACACTGATGTCATCCAGTACTAGATGAGACAGCTGGTGGGCGTGTACCTTCTGTAGTAACTGTGTGGTCAGTTCCTCCAACTTCATGTCTACAATATTATAGGGGGAACCATTACAGCATATATCTAATGCACAACTTACCTCAAGTCATACTAACTAACAGGTAATTGTTATGTTTATATCTCCTGTTCCACAAAACTTTTTATAAAGGATACATTGCAAATTCTAAACAAAACAAGTAAATAAATACTAAGATAATGTGTAAATAAACATCCAAGAACGACTGTTTATCTTTATTATTGGCGGCCGTCATCAGGACCATGTTACCCACATTGCAGGATCTCTAGTGAATACATTGGGTATCCATCCAGGAACATAACCGCTTTCAACGACTTTAAGAGTGTTGGTTCTCTCTATTGTTTGGATTTCTATTTTTTGGATTTCACAAATACTGAGAGTAATGAATCTTCAAGATTATAACAAAGAAAATCAAACAAAACCTACATCTACAATATATATATGGATATACATGTAAAAAAAATATCTTAATTACAAAATATCAAACCTACATCTACAATATATATATGTATATACATGTAAAAAATATCTAAATTACAAAATATCAAAACCTACATCTACAATATATATATGGATATACATGTAAAAAAAATCTAAATTACAAAATATCAAAACCTACATCTACAATATATATATGGATATACATGTAAAAATATATCTAAATTACAAAATATCAAAACCTACATCTACAATATATATATGTATATACATGTAAAAAAATATCTAAATTACAAAATATCAAAACCTACATCTACAATATATATATGTATATACATGTAAAAAAACATATATGGATATACATGTAAAAATATATCTAAATTACAAAATATCTTATATACATAAAAAAACAAAAAAACCTACAATATATATATGGATATACAAAACCTACATCTACAATATATATATGGATATACATGTAAAAATATATCTAAATTACAAAATATCAAAACCTACATCTACAATATATATATGTATATACATGTAAAAAAATATCTAAATTACAAAATATCAAAACCTACATCTACAATATATATATGGATATACATGTAAAAAAATATCTAAATTACAAAATATCAAAACCTACATCTACAATATATATATGGATATACATGTAAAAAAATCTAAATTACAAAATATCAAAACCTACATCTACAATATATATATGGATATACATGTAAAAAAATATCTAAATTACAAAATATCAAAACCTACATCTACAATATATATATGGATATACATGTAAAAAAATATCTAAATTACAAAATATCAAAACCTACATCTACAATACATGTTTATAATAAAACACATCTCAAATACCCAATTTAAAAAAATAGATCTACAATACTTGCACTTATTATCTGACTTTCATTTTTCCTGAATGCTGATTGGTCAAAACACCTCTCAAAGTTTTAAATATATTGTGATGTTACACCAAAACAGGCAGAATCTGTGCAGAAGAAGTGAATATATCGGTAACAGTTCCCTGAGCATCTGACAGGTCAACATAACAATTCAGTAAGCTGTGCTGCAATTCTTGACCAATCAGAAGCTAGGATTGTAATCACATGATAGAACAATTATTGACATGCTTTCAGGTTAATTCAAAGATTTATTAACCCTCAAAGGTCTTGGGAAATACCACCTTCTTGGGTAAATAAATCCATCTATTCACCAGAAAACAGGTCAATAATTGTTCAAAGTATTTAATCAAACATTACAAACAAGTGCATCTTTAAAGTAAAATTATTACAAAAAGTATTTCAGAAATCTGTATAAATCTGAGTTGTATGCATCCATTTAAATACAGAGATGTTTTCATAGTAGCAACAAGAACTTACCTACATCAAAAACTCCAAACTTTTTTAAAGATGTCCAGCCTGGAAGGACATGGACAAGAATGGAACTGATATCGTACCGGTTGGCAGTACTCAACAGAGCAAATGACTCCAGTCCTGTTACTGTCTCATCAGTGCTCTGATCTTTGGTCTGCGTTACATCACTATGAAAGCCAGATTTCTGAATTTGGTTACTATGACAACTAGACTTTGCTTGGCTGTTTGTAGAACTTTTGTTGTTCTTCACCACAGTTTCTCTGTAACAAAATTTATTTTGCCCTGTGGAAGAACTACTTGCAGTTTCCCTTTTCACACACACAGAATCTGTTCTATTAATAGCTGATTGACATTGAACACATCGAGATATTGACGAAGGAACAGGTTTTCTGCATTCATCAGGTTTGATGTTTATTGTATGAGCGAGAACAAGATTTTCCAAGGTGTCTGCTGGTCTAGGTAGAGGTGTAATAGCCTCATCATAAAGATCTAAGACCTGTGGTTCCAGTAAACTTTCAGGACCATCTGGAATATCGAAATTTGAGGACTCACTGCCGTCACTATCAAAACCTACTTCCCACAAGAGGGGCTCAATGGTCCTCGAACACATTGCTCTATCCTCAACTGTACTGGAAAAAATGCCAGAGCTAGTTGAAGGTCTTTCATCGTCATACTGCTGTAACTTGTCATCTGGTTTTCCTGATTCTTCAGACCTATCTACCACAGCTGAATCTTCAATTGATTCAATACTGTCTTCACAAGAGTTTGTCAAGGAAGACTCTGAATTCTTTTTGGTTTTAGCACAATTATGACAGATCAATTTTTTCACATTTGATAAATTAGAAGAGGTATGATCAAGTTTTCCTGAACACACGAACATCAAGTCTAGCAGACAAGGTTCTGATAACTTGACAGTTGACAAGACGACTTTGGTTAATTTACCATGTTTCATGAGAGATACCACCAAGGCACGTATGCCAGTGTAGTAGGTGTCTGTCAGTGTTACAAGCTGAAGTCTTTCCGTTACTTGGAGAAGTTTCTCGAGAAGTGGAGCACAACCTGCAATCCAACCGCACTGAGATCCAAGAACACGCAACGTCTGAGCATGAGCGGAAAAATCCAACAACTGTTCCAAATGGAAAGACATAGGTCCTACTGTTCCTCCTCCATCATGGTGATTTGAGATGAAGAAAGAAATCGGAGCACTAGAAGAAGACGATGATGATGAAGAGGAAGAAGATGGAACTGGAATGACAGGTGGCGGATCAAGGGTCTCCCTGCGAACCAGTCTGTGGATTGGGCAGAGGAATAAGCTGTGAGGATCTACAAAAGAAAAATGTCAAAAATTTTGATCACCTTACTGCTCAGGTAAGAGACCTTTTGATTCCTAAAGTGTTTAATGAAGGATATCCCTCAACAACACAAGTCACAGTGTACTAATGTAAGTGACCAGTCTAGAACAGAAAAAAATATATTTTACATCAGAATCCACTATTGTAAGTGAAAAGTCTAGAACAGAAATAAAATATTTGATATCATTATTCACTTATTGTGGAAATGAACTTTCTACGAACCTCTTGTGTTGACACTGAGTGTACAGAAATTGAGAAGATCATGAAAATGCTTCATCAGATAAACTTTACGTGGATCCTTGTCAATTGCCTCCTGGAACACATTCATCACAGACTGAACTCCAAACCCCCAGCGTCGCCGGATGTGCATGTTCCATAGCCATTCACACTTCACACCTGTAAATTCAAATAAGTACAATCTGTACAAATTCGCATCAAACTCCATAACTTTCTCTTCCAGTGTTTAGCTGAAGCAGAGTCTCTGAAGGAAATTAACTACAAGCATTAGAATGCAATGTACACAAACATTTCACAGCCAGTTATAACACAGTTAAAAAAGGAGTTAATTAAAATGTTGTTCATTTTGTTCTTGATGAAACAAATCTGAACAGATAAAGCTGCTAGAGGAAGACTTTCATGTACTTCACAAAACAAGCAGCTGATCTTTACCTAATGTGCATATTTTTGGGGTTTGACTACCATTGTTCCAATCAATTCCATATACGAGAAAAATGTTCTTAAGAACAACTTTGGAAAATCTCACCTGAGTAATGAAGGATGAATACAAGAAAAATAAAAGGTCCTAACGATTCTCCCCTTACCTATGTACTCTTTTTTAAGAGAGGATGTCCTCTACAAATGATCCTGACATATATGTATACACAAGTTATCTGCAGATCCTTAATAACAGAAGCCATCAAGAGGTTTCTCACCTGCGTAAGAAAGACTTTGGTGGATTGAGTGAAGCCAGTAAGCACTCATATATGGGAGAATGCTCTCTAGAACAGGTCCTGGTAAGTCTACAAACAAAAGAATAATGAAACATATCAGTTTTATTTAACAAAACCAATAGCATAATTAACCAAAACCAATAGTTTGGTTCCCTTTAAAAAGTACATATACAAGAGATCCTCAAGGAATCAAGACACCAGCCATTGTTGATATTTGTTTGCTCATTAGAAGATGGCTCTTTTCCTATCTTTTCTCTTCTATATGGAATTTAAATAGTTATGCTTTAGAAATTGTGATCTTAACCTTTAACTTCCATATCCAAGATGGCTGCCAGCTGTTGATCATTTTATTTTGGGTTATGCTGCAGACACAACATTTTAACAATGACCGTAACACTGTGAAAAAAAATCACTGACTGTTCTCCATTGACTACAGTACCCAGTGTATCAGTATATAGCCATTTGCAAAATCGGAGCATCTAGTGCAAATGACATCATTTTTACCATTATCTACTGCTGTCTATGATTGTAAGCTATCTTCGCATGACCATAAATCCTATATTATTATCTTTGTTGATATACAATATCTTCCGACCTTATATTTACCGTTGCCATACATTAAATGTAAAATAAAATTTCTTGATTCTCGAATGACGTGAAGACAGACAAGTCATTTATTTTTTGAGTAAAAAAATGCAGTGCAGCACGGCCCAATCGCGCATTTTAACAAATTCAATTAGATTATAGAAATTGGTTGTCTCACCTGCTACGGCTTCCGTCGGAAACAAATCCATATTTTCTCCCACAAAAGTGGATGTCGATCTGAAGAGGGACTTCATTGTGAATATGGAAATTTTACCAGTTCATACTAAAATGTTTCTACTGTTGCAATTGTGTATATGACAAAAATAAACTCCCTGCGTGACTTACTTAATTGCCATTAGGTATTACCATACACAATCCTATCAGCTAAAAAATAAAAAAGCAAAAAATAATCCTCGATAGAGGTTTCTGTTCGCATCTTTACTAGCGGAAGTAAGATGATGATTTCTAAAATAAAAGCCATTTACGGATTCCGGGGCGGATGGTATTGCTAGGACAAAGAGAATAAAGCTTACCTGCAGTACGCAATTACGATTTCAAACATTAGAGTATCTGCAAAAAACGAAAAAAAAAACAGATTAAAGCATTTCTGATGAGTGTCGTGATGAACAGTATCAAATACAATGGAACAAGGGGCCCAAGAATATGCTTTGAATAAATTCAGAATTTGTTTATATTTGTTTTGTTTTTATTGTTTTGAAATAGTTAATTCCACTCATAATTGCACTTACCTGGTGTGAAAATACAAATACAGTGAAAAATGGTTATCGTTTTCAAAGTAGATATATTTATCATATTGAGAATTAAAAATAACTATTTAACACACACGTGATGGACATTACTTTCCATTATCAAAGTATACTCATATTACTGGTTTTTATTAGATTACCTAATAATACTTCAAATGTAAGTGTTGGACATATTTTTGTCTGTTCTGCTTTTCAGTAATATAAATACCTTACTGGAGGACGGTATTTTGTCTGATTATATATGGAACAAATAGTGTGAAAGTAAATGTAATAAAAACAGCTTTTATTTTTTCCCTAGTCATAAATGGAATCGTAAATAGAATGATAATTCTTGAATTTGTTACCTGCATTGTTGATGTATCTGTCAATGTAAAATGATTATTTTAAACTGTTTGTGAGAGATTAATGAAATTACAGCCTTCAGTATATGTGGAAGACTGGTGTCAGTTGATCACAATTAAAACAGTAAGGGATTTAACAGGTACAAGAACATATCAATGAAATGTCGTTACTGAAGCAATACATGACAAAATGTGGATTGAGCAACAGACTGTAAAACAAAATATTGACTCTGTGTGTTCCATCTCTGTAAGGGATGATTATTTCTTACTCATGCAAGATTGTTATATTACATGGTTACAGGGAGGTAACTATAGTTTAGATAGCAAGTCTTCACTTCCTTGTTGAAAGAGCTCAACATATATACCTATACACATAATGTAAACACAATATACATGTAAACAGATGCTGTTTTATTTATAACATCGAGGGTGCGAAACATTGTGGTGCAAACAGTGCTGGGGGCGAAACGACTTGGTGCGAACTGGGTTGGGAGCAAAACATTAGGATACCGGGGTCCAAGTGCCTTTACGGTCACCTGAGTTACAATGCTAGTCAATTCGACCCATTTCTGGCCTCGCCCTTCAGCTCCTTGGGATCAGACAAGATCAACATGTGCATATCTCACCTGTCGGTTTATAGAAATAATTCTAACAAAGTTTAACTTTTTTTCTAAAAGAAAATAAACAAATTTTGCTCAATATTGTAATTTCCCAATATAGTAATATCTTAAATAGTAAATTTACCCATTCCCCAAGAGGAAATGTGAGACCTTATGGTCATGAAACTCACAATTTTGGTGAAGACACTTCCATCCATGAAGAGTATTTGGTTCTACTTCACCTGGGTATTGAGAAGGTTTTTAAATTTCCAGTCAATTTGATCCATTTTTGGCTCATCAGTCCCTGGGGGTTGTGGACCAATACAATTTGCAATTTTGATGCACATTTAACCATTGAAGGTTTTGTAAAATTTCATTGAAATTGATATAAGAGTTTTCCAGAAGAAGTCGAAAATGTTTAAAGGACTGTAACACTACACAAACCCCCGAGTGTACCTAGAGCAGTAATACCAGACAAATCTCCCAGTGTACCTACGGCAGTAACACCAGACAAATCTCCCAGTATACCTAGAGCAGTAACACCAGAAAAATCTCCTCGTGTACCTAGAGCAGTAATACCAGACAAATCTCCCAGTGTACCTAGAGCAGTAATACCAGACAAATCTCCCAGTGTACCTAGGGCAGTAACACCAGAAAAATCTCCTCGTGTACCTACGGCAGTAACACCGGACAAATCTCCCAGTGTACCTAGAGCAGTAACACCAGACAAATCTCCCAGTGTACCTAGAGCAGTAACACCAGACAAATCTCCCAGTGTACCTAGAGCAGTAACACCAGACAAATCTCCCAGTGTACCTAGAGCAGTAACACCAGACAAATCTCCCAGTGTACCTAGGGCAGTAACACCAGACAAATCTCCCAGTGTACCTAGAGCAGTAACACCAGACAAATCTCCCAGTGTACCTAGAGCAGTAACATCAAACAAATCTCCTCGTGTACCTAGAGCAGTAACACCAGACAAATCTCCCAGTGTACCTAGAGCAGTAACACCAGACAAATCTCCCAGTATACCTAGGGGAGTAACACCAGACAAATCTCCTCGTGTACCTAGAGCAGTAACACCAGACAAATCCCCCAGTGTACCTAGGGCAGTAACACCAGACAAATCTCCCAGTGTACCTAGAGCAGTAACACCAGACAAATCTCCAAATGTACCTAGAGCAGTAACACCAGACAAATCTCCCAGTGTACCTAGAGCAGTAATACCAGACAAATCTCCCAGTATACCTAGGGGAGTAACACCAGACAAATCTCCCAGTGTACCTAGAGCAGTAACACCAGACAAATCTCCCAGTGTACCTCGGGCAGTAACACCAGACAAATCTCCCAGTGTACCTAGAGCAGTAACACCAGACAAATCTCCCAGTGTACCTAGGGCAGTAACACCAGACAAATCTCCCAGTGTACCTAGAGCAACAACGCCAGGCAAATCTCCCAGTGTACCTAGGGCAGTAACACCAGACAAATCTCCCAGTGAACCTACGGCAGTAACACCAGACAAATCTCCCAGTGTACCTAGGGCAGTAACACCAGACAAATCTCCCAGTGTACCTAGGGCAGTAACACCAGACAAATCTCCCAGTGTACCTAGGGCAGTAACACCAGACAAATCTCCCAGTGTACCTAGGGCAGTAACACCAGACAAATCTCCCAGTGTACCTAGAGCAGTAACACCAGACAAATCTCCAAATGTATCTAGGGCAGTAACACCAGACAAATCTCCCAGTGTACCTAGAGCAGTAACACCAGACAAATCTCCAAGTGTATCTAGGGCAGTAACACCAGACAAATCTCCCAGTGTACCTAGGGCAGTAACACCAGACAAATCTCCCAGTGTATCTAGGGCAGTAACACCAGACAAATCTCCAAATGTATCTAGGGCAGTAACACCAGACAAATCTCCCAGTGTACCTAAAGCAGTAACACCAGACAAATCTCCAAATGTATCTAGGGCAGTAACATCAGACAAATCTCCAAATGTATCTAGGGCAGTAAAAAATAACAAATACAACATTTGAAATTTTGTTGTTTATGTTTATACATCAATTACAATGTCAGGTTTTTTTCTTACATACATGGCTAAAATGATATGTACAATGAAAACCACATTGGCAATTCAGTTGTGAATTTTTACAATGTTTGTTTTTTTACAAATTGGTAACATAGGCTATTAAATAAACATATCAACAACACACATTTAACATAAAAACAGGAACCATTTTAAAAGAAATTGCACAAAAATGTTAGTATTGATCACCTTTCAAAAATAATTCTGAAAAAGTTAGAAATATATGGGTCTTAACTATGATTCAAATAAATAATTGTACATAGAAGCACTTTACCATATAACACTGAATAGGAAGATTTATTCCAGGAACATTAACATGTTTATTGTTCTTAACTTATGCTGGGTTTCCAACAAAATCATATTTGGATATAATGGATGAAATTTTGTCTCAGAAAACAAAATAATACTTGTGATTCAGAATCACTTAATGTGTAAATGTCTAAATGATGAATTATTATCTTCGTTGCTTTAACTGGTAAGTGAAATATGGGTTTCAATTCAGGTGTGTGGAAATACCACTTTATTTGTCAAAATATTTAAAAATACTGCTTCGTTACATATAAATGATTCCAGTGTTAAAACTCAACATACATGGAGATAACATCACTAATATACTGTTGAAACATACACAATTGTTCACAAAAACTGCTACAAAAGTTAACCTAGTGATTAAGTTCCCATGTATAAAAAAAAAACTATACCAAAACTTTTACCACCATTTATCTTTCACCATTATCATACAGCATGATGGGGGTGAACTTAACAAAACAGCAAAAGTTTCACTGTAAAATATCAAATAATGTCTTCTTCTAATGAAACTAGAGTTATTTCTTAATTTTATTCCTGTCCCTATTTCATTTTCAAAAATAACAGAAAAAGAAATTTGCTGAACATTGTCATTATCATTTTATTTGTAATCATATTGCAGATTATCTGGAGACTTAACACAATTGTTTTAAACATAATTGTTTTATGTTGAGAAATGTTTGTAATATACCTACAGACTGGAATTAGTTAGTGAAAACATCAACATGGCCTATACAAGGCGAATCATTAAATGAGACCTTGAGGATATTGAACAGTGTTTTCAGTATTAGCATGTATATTTCAAAAGTATGGGTATATTTTGGAATCTTTCATTTGAGATCTCATCACAAGTGAAGACACCAAATTATTACCAACATGAGTGAAACAGATGTTATTGAAAACATGATAACGTATTTTGTTAATTACCTTTTCTATTTGTTTTAGATTTCCTGATTGGTAAATTTTATTTCATGAAATGTGGTCTCTGCTAGCATTGGTGGAAATCTTCAGATACTGGTAAGCTATTTTTTTTCATTGCATATTTGATATTGAACAATATTTCACAGGTGAAAATGTAATCATAGGCCTTTTTCTTATCACAGAACAAAGAATCCTGATTCCCCGGTAAACAATAAAAATGATGATAACAAGTAAACCAACTTAAAATCACTCCTGTCACATAGAACAATGACAGAATTTATTGTTGTTTTTTTCCTCACTCACCCTTAAATTGTAAATGTCCTTTATGATATAGGAGGGATCTTTAAATCTAAAATGCACAAAAGGCTGTATCATTTGATTATTTTTAATATATGTTCTGTGACCTACTCCTGTTCTAAATTCTGCCTGGCTCTTTATCTTTTTATATTGCTTTCATTATCCTTCAAGTGTCTGCTTTGAGCCAGGAAAGCACAATGCCTATGTTAAGGTTTGTGATTTCTGCGAAGGCCCTGTCCCTCTACATTAATGGTGTTGTATCATTTATAATACAGCAATAAATTCCTTAAACCTTGAGAAAATCCATTCCAAATACAAACCCAAATAAGAGTATACATCTATCAATATTCTTTCAACTGTTTGACTGGACAATAAGTCCAACAAAGGAAAAAAAAATTGACAATGAACAGATGACAAAAACTGTTTCATGGCTAAGCAAAATTGATGCTATGAGCCAAGTGAACTAACAAAACATTTTCTGAACTGAGAGATCTAGATCAACAGTAGGTGGCATAACAATGGGAAAAAAGCAGAGAACAAGATATGAGAATTAATGTCAAAAGAAAGAAGGACTACCAACAAAGACAAGCCTTAAAATTGTTGTTGTTCATATAACAAAAACTATTTCAATTTGTTATTCATAATAGAAGTTAACCTGAAAGACACTATTTGAACTCACATCTGATTGTGAACTTAAGCAATTTTAAAGCATATCTTACAAATCCTTCATGAATCCATTAATTATTTCATTCTTCACCCCTCCCCAACATAACATCGTTATGTGGTACTCATGCGTGACAGTAACACCCCCCTCCCAAACATTACATCCTCATTATCTTACATGCATGACAACACCATAAAAAATACCAGACATGTTAAAACCTAAAGACCAGACATCAGAACTCAGTTCTCGTTACATACTATAAAACAACCCTGACATTTCCCTTCAGCAAGACAATTCCTACATTTCACATACACATGATGATTAAAGAACACATCATTGCAGGGAAATTTCTCTCCAAATGGTAACAAGAATTTGGCAGGAACTGTTTAGAACGTGTTCTTTTTAGTTTTACTGGAATCTGTTACCATAGAAACTCTTGTAGATTTTTACCGACATAATTTCATCAGGTCAAGAGTCAATAATATCAAATCTCATTATAAGGAGATTCTAATTTTTGATGAAGATTTTCCATTTTTTAGAGAAAAAATTACAATAACACTTTACGGAACAAAGCAATATTACATGTATGACTGTTTCCTTGATAAGGAGCACTGAGAACTGACAAAAGATTTATTTAAAACATCATCCATAAATGAAATCTTTCCTTGTAAAACTAAAAAAAATACAATTGTGAACTGTTTATGCTTCGACATCACCAAACATACAAGATGTTATACATGATATTATCTTCACACATACATTATGTATACTGACCTAACAATATTACTTTATGATTGAGTGAAACATCAGACAACACATAATGCTAAACTGGTAATACTTGTAATTTAGATTTATAAAAAAAAAGGATGAATTCGATTAGGAACAGATTCTAAAACATTTGTAAACCAAAATGTTTTCTCACTGAACACAGCCCACACTAGTGCATAAATCAATGATGCGTGGTTTCAACCTCACATGATCAAAAAATTATTCTTATCACACAGACAAAATGAAGTAGAACTACCGCCAAATTGTCAACCTTGTGTAATTCAAATACCAGGAGTTTCAAAATCTCCGACCAAAAGTATAATCAGTGAAAGAAGAAAACATTGGTCAGAAAAGCATTCACTCTAAACAAATTTGATCAGGTCACCATGAAATTGATAACTAATCTACGTTGATATGAACAACACCTGAATTTTAATTCATGAATATTTTTTAGTGATCTGATTGTGCAACATTTTCACCTCACCCAGATATAATGAACATGCTGTTATAAAGTTAACTTTTAATGCAAACCAGAACTGCATTTCTTGACTTGTATTTAGATGGAGAAGAAATGATTATATTATTTCATGTAACTCTCAGAAGAACCTCTACCACATGATTCTTAAAACTAATACAAGAACAAATGGAAAGATGGCACTTACCATGTATGTAGGACAAAAATACTCATGAATTCTTTTTAATCAAATTTTGACATGTAATTAGATTAAAAATAGATCACAGTTTTGTTTGGGAATTACCTGCAGCTTTACAGCTGATTTAGTTTTAACTTTATACCACACCAACTACACTCTACAACCGCCTGGCCAGCAGGAAACGCTGCAATCCTATTAGAATTACAGGACAATTTCATGGGAGTATTTCACGAAAGTTGTTGTTCTATGGTTTTTGACATGTACAGAAAAATACTCGGCCGAAACGTCTACATAGAAAAAGGAAAGCATGCATTCTGTTGGGTTGAGTGCTAATTTCAACAACATTTTTTTCAGAATTGGTATTAACAAATGGTGGAGACAGACTATAAAGCACTACAACTATAACACGGGTGCCAACAGGTATGCATTGGTCCGCACAAATTGATCCAACACAATCCAGTGATAATCTGCACATATTGCTTACATAATTTAAATAAAATTTTTTTTTTTGAGCAAGCCTGTATTAATAAAGACATTCAGAATTGCATATGCATACAGACATTCTAAAAAGATACACCGAATGGTACAGAGAGACAATGTTGATAAAGAGGTAATGTTGCAATACGAAACATACAACAAGGTATCCTTAATATCATCTGTATTACATTATCACCCTGCAGTTCTTTATACGCCACAAATCCCTGCATGAACTATAGCTAAACAGATATCACCGTACAAACTAGCAGGCATGGCCTTTTAACACTGAATGATTAATACAATCTGCTACTGGAATGTTCTTTCCTTTACCTGCTTCTTCTTAACCATCATGGCTTTCTCCCAAAACATAGTTAATACATCAACAATTTTGACTCTCAATCCTGTTGGCCCACATCTGTCAACAATGTGACAGACATTCCATCGGAATTCCACACATGACAACAAATAATTATCTAAACCGGCAACCATCATTGCCATAGGTTGGTAGAGAGGGTCTGTCCACTGTTGTTAGGGGCACCCCAATTTAACCCCCCTGTACTTGACATTGGCTGTCCCATCATGTTTCCACTACCCACTCTCATTGCTGACATCTGCTGCTGCATCTAGAAACATCAACAACAGACCATTTAGTTGTAAACATAACAATCTTAAATTTAAGTACATATAAATATATTTGACTAAAATTTTGAACAGGCTACTACAAGCTGATGCTGTAAACTTACGCCATAGAATACCATGTATCCAGTTCCTAAACACTGATCAATATATGTGCAAGAACTTTGGAAATAAAGATTTATTTATAGCGACCCTTTTTTGCATAACTGACAAATCTATTCTAAATTATGGAAAGTTTGAGGCATGTCACAACCTCAACTAGTACAAATAAACAATTACAGAGCTTTCTTGCATCAGTTTAAGCAAATGTTCACATTTTTGCCTCAAAGTCATGAAATGCAAATCATCAAATTGACACTTTGAGTTACAATACGGGGAAATGCTGGGAAGGCTACCTGCTGGTACTGCATCTGCTGCTGTATCTGTTGTGGCTGTTGACCATACATGCCCATATTGCCCTGAGGCATGCCTGTCATCCCCATATTACCCTGCTGAGGTATTCCCATCATCCCTGAATACATGTTAGGCTGCTGCTGTTGCTGCTGTAAAAGAACCATGGGATGTTTGGAAATTATAAAACATTTCAAGTTTGATACAAGTTATATGTATGATAACACTTGGTGTTGATGAATTGGGCAAGAAAAATGGCTTCATTTCAACAATTTGTCAAACCAAAAGGTGGAGCTGAACATTCATTCGTTATTTTTACACCTGCCTGAGAGTTACCATATGTAACCCTACCTGAGAGTTACAATTTGTACCTCTTCCCGAGAGTTTACCATATGTAACCCTACATGATAGTTGTCATTTGTACCCCTATCTGGTATTTGTCATCTGTACCCCTGCCTGAGAGGTGTCATCTGTACCCCTGCCTGAGAGGTGTCATCTGTACCCCTGCCTGAGAGGTGTCATCTGTACCCCTGCCTGAGAGGTGTCATCTGTACCCCTGCCTGAGAGGTGTCATCTGTACCCCTGCCTGAGAGGTGTTAAGACATACCTGAGGCATTGCCATCATCCCTTGTGGTTGTTGTTGGTACATCATGCCTGTTGTCTGGGCTGGTACGACCCCTGGCATTCCATACATTCCAGGGTTAGCATTCTGGGGCATGTACATCCCACCTGGGTAGACAATGACAAATGTATTAAAACAATTTCTCACAGAACAAGCACTCTGAAGAATTACAAAAATAAAAGTCAATTGTAAAACAGAAGTTAAAGCATCCCAATTCAGAATACGGCACTCTGTTTGACCATGCATACAAAGTCTGATATAGATCATAAGATATTTTACAGCAATATGCTCCAGTGGTACAGAAAGGCATACACAAAAAGAGGGAAGGTGAATACCACCCATACCACTACCACTTTCAATCTTAAAAATTATGTCTGAAAGAAAATCGTTACACAATGAAAAAAAAAAATGACAGAAACAGCTAACACATGAAATAGTTTACCTTATGCCAAAACAAAATATCTTAAGTTACTTTATCAAGATATGGCATGGTGAGAGAGATTATTTCCCAGTACACGATATATCTACATACACCAAAAATGCATGCTTAGCTGTTGAATCCACCAAAATACCAGGAGTGTCAACATGAAATATATTTGAAAGAACACAAAAAGGTGCGAAACATAAGCAGGCTTTACATATCACTGGAGGCAAGGCAAAGCTGAGCTTCAGTTTGAACTGGTTATATGTATTGAAGGTACAGAGATATAAAAAATAACTTAAAAATTTCATTTCAACTGGACTGGCTCGACCTATATCAATCCTCCAGGATAACTCAAAATCTTTAATGTAAACAAACAATGTCATTTCAAATACATTGGCTCGATCAATATCAATCCTCTCCAGGGAAACTTAATATTTGTTTACATACAAAATGATATCTACATGTATAACTTTATGTCAATCATCTTCCAAAAGTATATGTACCTACTAGTCCTGAGTTAATGAAAATCACCAACAGTTGTAGTATATCTATATACTGAAAAGAGAAGGTGTCTTTATATACGACTGTAAAGGGACACAATTCGTTTTTGACATTACGTCAGGTTTTATCCTATCTATTTTAGGATCAATCTTGGTTAAAGATGAACATTTTAGGATCAATCCTGGTTACAGCTGAACATTTTAGGATCAATCCTGGTTACAGCTGAACATTTTAGGATCAGGTAAGACTGTACCTAAGAAGATCCTAATTATATACATTGTAGGATCAATTCTAGTTATAGCTGTACATCATACAATCCTAGTTATAGTTGTACATCATAGGATCCTAGTCAGAGCTTTACATCATAGGGTCCTAGTTACAGCAGTACATCATAGGACCCTAGTTACAGCTGTATATCATAGGACCCTAGTTACAACTGCACATCATAGGATCCTAGTTACAGCTGTACATCAAAGGACCTAGTTACAGCTGTAAATCATAGGATCCTAGTTACAGTTGTACATCAAAGGACCTAGTTACAGCTGTACATCATAAGGTCCTAGTTACAGCTGTACATCAAAGGACCTAGTTACAGCTGTAAATCATAGGATCCTAGTTACTGTTGTACATCAAAGGACCTAGTTACAGCTGTACATCATATGATCCTAGTTATAGCTGTACATCATAGGATCCTAGTTATAGCTGTACATCATAGGATCCTAGTTACAGCTGTACATCATGAGGCCCTAGTTACAGCTGTACATCATAGGACCCTAGTTATAGCTGTACATCACAGGATCCTAGTTCCAGCTGTACATCATAAGGCCCTAGTTATAGCTGTACATCATAGGATCCTAGTTATAGCTGTACATCATAGGATCCTAGTTATAGCTGTACATCATAGGATCCTAGTTACAGCTGTACATCATGAGGCCCTAGTTACAGCTGTACATCATGAGGCCCTAGTTACAGCTGTACATCATAGGATCCTAGTTACAGCTGTACATCATAGGACCCTAGTTACAGCTGTACATCATAAGGCCCTTGTTATAGCTGTACATCATAGGATCCCAGTTATAACTGTACATCATAAGGTCCTAGTTATAGCTGTACATCATAGGATCCTAGTTATAGCTGTACATCATAGGATCCCAGTTATAACTGTACATCATAAGGTCCTAGTTACAGCTGTACATGTTAGGATCAATCATTTGTTGGAAGCAGAAAGATGTAAGTAAGCCCACAGAGCAACAATGATGTTGATTGCATCCAATCTAATAAGACAGTATCATCCAGGTTAGAAGGATCAGAGCAGATTCTTCAGTAATGATTTACTTATTACCAAAAAATATAGTGGGCCTCAAAATTTGAGCAGTTTCACAGGAAAATCATCAGAGCAGAATTCCAATATCTTAGTTCCAAGAATCACTGGATGTCGATAATGAAGTTAAATCTATTTCTATCAATCAATCACTATATTTTTCCATTTTCAACACTCTGTTAAAATATATCAATAAGAGATTACCATTTTTCTTATATTTTACTAAAAATTCATTCCTTGGATACCTTATTACAGTTTGAGTTCTGTTGATTGCTAAAATTCACTATATATCTTTTTTTTTACAGAATTTTGGCCCTGAAATAATAATACTTGTGTTTAAAACTAGCTAGCCTTTTCATGTAATGATACTCAGTTTTAATTTTAAATTAAATTTTTTTTCTTTTTAAACTCCAACTTGATCACATGATCACATGGGCAAAACCAAGAGTTGATAATGTTGCAATATCTAAGATAATTGAAATGAGGAAAAAATAAAGAGACATGCTGATAAAAAGATGGATGATTATAGGTCAAATGCGGTACCTGTTTCATACTGGTTGGGAATGCCAACCTCAGTTTGGGGTACATAAAAGTAGGAGGTACCACCAGCTGAAACCAGATCATACAAAATACTGTTTATGAGATCAAACTTCTCAACAAGCAATTAAGTTTTCTCCAATGACAAATTCTACAAGGATACCAATTCACAAGTTGTTATACCTGTTAGACACAGTCATATTAATATTAACCACCAAATACATGCTGCCAACCAATATCACAGACCTGCATACCAGGAAGTAGATAATTAGGATATATAATGGGCCATCCTGGCTGTCAGATCTCTATCAAACAATATCAAAACTGATATATTCATTTTAAAAACTGATGTTTATCAAAAATCTCTGTTGTCTTTGCAAACAACAAGCATACTGTTCTGAATATTGGGCTCTGTCTTATACAAGTGTTCACTCCTCTTGACTGCAGTCCTTTCTAAGAATTATCAAAAACCAACCCCAACCCCCAAACTCCTACCCAAGGGCAGCAAACTCCTGCTCACCTGGTACACCAAACTGTTGTGGTTGTTGTTGCTGCTGCTGCTGTTGAGGCATCCCTGATGGACCAAACAAAGCCATGATTGAATCCTTGGTGGTTTTCTCTGGAACCTTCTCAGCTGAATTATTCGGCTCCTCAAATAAGTTTGGTTCTACATTTCCATTCTGTAATCACGTATGATATAAAGGTGTCAGAAGGAAGCTGTCCTCATAAGATTAAGTTTTTCATTATCTTTGATCTTAAAAACTTTTCATCAGATTAACATCGATGAAATTATGGACTAAAATTCGAAATTATCATAAATGTTACAAGGAGAAAATTCAATTAAAGCAAACAAGGAGAGCAATGTCTTGCAAATCAATCAGTTCCTCGATCTCCCATTATTACTCAATACAACGGTATAGCGGCAGAATAGGGGAAAACAAAGGGGAGATAAGTTATAGATTTACTCTAATTACTATAACAGGACTCTTACTGGCTAGCGACCTCTAAATCATACTTTTTAAATTATCCTGTAATGTTCTTTAATATCTTATAAACATTTATTTTCAACAAAATGCATTGTACTTGATTTGTAATGAAACAACATACAAAAATAATTAGTACCTTTCAAATTTGAAATTTAAAGAAACCATAGCATGACAGGAATATTGTTTTTATTGATCACTAAGTGGTCAATAAATATTTCTATCTGTGTCATACTTCTACCTATAGAACAACATATCTGTTTTCTCTGTTCAGAATATATACTCCACCAGAAAGTCACTTGTACTAATCATAGGTGATTGGACTAACCTCACAAAGGACGATATCAAAACAAAATCTCCAGAATTTACTCAGTAATGATGAGGCAAAATGGCACATTAGCCACAGTCTACTGTTTTCTTTTTATTTAGACCAACCTTGGTATCACAAAACCCTTTATGACAAGGCATCTTAGCCTTAAGTGTGCATGCCACACAAATGCAATAGATACATAAATGATAAAAACGAAACCATGCCACCTGGTGATATATTGCCATTTTAAGTGAAGTTCGTAAATGTATTTAGCTATATAAGTAATTTACTTGTGAATTTGAGGTCTGCATAATAATTATGTGTGACATGTACCTGTTGTGGGGGCTGACTAGAGGATACTGCAGGAACGCTTTGTTGACTAGGTGCACCCATGAAATCATTCAAGTCTCCTAAAAGGTCTGCATTCTGGCTGTTGGGCTGTTTACTCGGGGACATTTCTGTTAAAATGAAAATGTTATATTGAATCATTTAAGTAGTTCCAAGAAAGTTATGGAGGATGTTGAAACATGACTACTTATCTTAAATGTATAAAGCAGTGTTATTGATAAAAAGCAAAAAAAGTGAAAGGAATTAGAGATGTCAATCCTTATCTTTTTGACATTTTTGAAATTTTAACTTCATGTATTAATATACATACATTGGATATTTATAACTTCTACTATGCAGCATTAGAAATCAAATAAATTAGATAAAGTAACCATGAAGTAGTGTGCTATAGAATATAACACTGAGTACAACACATGCTAACACTTTCCAGTCTAAAAATCCCAGCACTTTTCTACAACAGACTTCTTTTCAAGTACTATTCAATAATTTCCCTAGTTTATATATGACTCAGAAATGACTATTTTCAAGTACTATTCAACAATTTTCCTGGTTTGTATATGACTCAGAAATCTATCTGTGAAAGACTTTAATACAACTCAGCCATGGCTCTCCAAATCCAACATCACACCTGTGGCCCTGAAATTGTTTCCATGTAATGGCTTACCAAATCCCACATTACATTTGTGACTCTGAAATGACTTACTTAAGCACACATTACAACTGTGGCTATGCATTTACTGATCAGATGGCACAAATCATTCTCAAATCTCTGCTGTTATGAACCTAACCCAGAGAGTACTGTAATCACTGCTCCATTCCCATTCTTTGACGACCACAACCTTCCATGATCTATCTTATCTCAAAGAGATCCTTGGAGATCTATTCTGACTTACCTAAACCAAGGAGATCCTGCGAACTCTTGGCAGGCTGTGGTTTGTTTTCAACCTTTTTTGAAGGTGGAGATTTTTCTTCATTTTTTGGCTTGGCAACATTACCAACAGCTTCCTTAGTGCTAGCTTTAGGGACCTGCAAACACAAGATTTTATTAACTGGTACCAATAGATAGCAATATGGCCAATCAGCATTTTTACAGTATTTTCCTTTCAGTGGAAAGTTGTTCTAAACAAGAGGTCACATAGCAACATATTAAGTCCATATAGTAACTGTAAGGCACATATCAAGCCATTGATACATTATCAACAGGGCTCTCGATCTGCCAGATTTGGGGCCGATATTCGGTCCCATTCCCAATGCAAAAAAGTATCTTTTTTCCAAAATTTAGACCCGAAGTTTTCCCAATTCTAAGGAAAGCACCATTATTTTTCCCAATTCTAAGGGCCCCTGGCCCCAGTCCCAAAATGGGGTGTGAGAGCCCTGATCAATAAATACAACATACTGGACATACTGTGTTTCACCGCATGATTCACTTATTAAGAATTGATAACAACTGTATGTACTGTGGCAGTGTTACAGGTTTTAAATATAGATACATATAACATTAGTAACACTATTGATGGTAAATTCACATTATCAACATTTGTTTTCACAAAATGCTTGTTTCAAGAGTGTAATACCACTAAAGTATAAACTCCAGTTCTGCTTTAAAGTAGTTCATTAAAATTACCTCTTACATACACAACAAACATTATCATAAATTAAGCTACATGAACTCTTTAACACAAGGGTACCCTCATGAGCCTTTACATTGCAAAGTTACAAGATTTTTTATCTAGTATATGTAGGAATGCAAAATATCTAAATACAATAACTTTTTAAATACAGGTTTAACACTGAAGTATTTGAACAATGCTGTAATGATATAAGAAATTGGACAGCATCTCTAGTATATGATATCATAGATAATGGTGCCATCATTCAAGTATCAATCAGTCAGACTGGTGCTTCTACATCAAGACCAGAAGATTTGCAAAAGCAGGCAAATAAGAAGGGAAAGATTGACTACATTTGCATTACACTAACATTTATTTCAATCCAATTCATGTGAGAGGAAAACCAACCTGATAACAACAAAAGAGTGTGGAATTTGTTAGAATAACTCCATCAAAATACAACTTTTTTCTCATTTAATCGATTCCTGTAACCTATATAATTCACCTGCATGAGTGACATTACGACAAACTTGTGAAATCTATACAAAATAGTAGTATCATCTACATGTCAAGGTAGCATAAACGTGTATCTTGGTTCTTACCGAACTCAGTTGAATTCCAGAGCTTTTTGCTCTAGCTTTCCTTTTGTCTGCCTTGTCCTCTAGCTCCAACTGCCATAAGAAAAAGAAAGCAGACATGTACAATACAATATGTGGGTAACCCATAAACAAAAGTTCTGTTCCGAAAGGCTACACATCAATGACCCTGATAATCTCACCCAAAACAGTACAGAAATGGATAGAATCTATACAAATCTTAAGGTTTGCTTTTACATACATACATTTCTGTACCGTAATTACACTACTTGATCTATCTGTTAAACTTTTCAGAAGAGTAAGTATATGAAATATCATTGGGCACTGACATGCATTACTTTGTGTATGAATTAATATTAACAAACATAAGAAAATGTTATGACAAATTATGCATCCAAGAAATCTTAATTTATTGACTGGACTTTTGTTTGTCACAATGGAAGACAGGATCTTAATTCAATGAAGTTTGGATTTTAGACAAAATAAAATGTTAAATAATTACTTGTATAGTTTATCATCTTTATACCTAAATGACTATTAAAGACACTGCACATGAAAATTGATCAGGTATGTAGAACACTACATGATAACTTTCAGAACTGCCCGGTAGTTTTAATTCGTTTGATCAGAGGTTACAAACAATGTCATAAGATGATGTGAACAACCAACACCTTGTACACAATATACAATAACGAAGTGTAAACCCCCAACACCTTGTTCACAATAAACAATAACTAATTATGTATGTTGTTCATACTAGACTGAACCAACACCTTTATCCATTTCAGGTCCATCACCACACATATCCTACAAGACATGTATTACATGACACCTGTCATCAAGCTACAAGTCACATGTATCACTGCTGTTATCTACCACAATCTTACACCGTTAATTATATTAAATATAATAAACATGCTAATAAATAAACAAACAAATATTGACTTGACCTAAAAATAGTGTTTCATCACCATGGATTGAACATTTCCTTGTAAAAAATATCTGTAAGCATTTTTTTAGGGTAAACAATGTAATTTACATATATGAAATATTTTGATTATTAAAATGAACCGTTAAGCCAATAAAAAGTGAATGATAATATGAAAATGAGTTTTGTCCTAGAATCAAGATATGAAGTTGTACATGTACAGTCACATAGGCAGAAAGCATGTCCTAACTACAACAACCTTAACCATGGTGTTACTACAGGAAAATCTAGAGAATCTGTATCATTTTTGTTAATATATTATATATCCATCATTTCGGTTTTTTTAGAAAACAATTATGGGTATGTTAGTTAAAATATTTCTCTAAGGAATTGGTATAATCATCACTTGTTAAAAAAAACAGAATTTTGAGTTGTTTTAGTATAATATCAATCACAGAAACACATCAACATCTTATAGCGTTGACAGTCTTTACTAGGCATTGATGTTAATGCTTCCAGAATTAAAACAATTATTACAAATACTATTAGTGTCAATGTGAACATATGTATCAATTTAATTAAACACTGTATATAAACACATTAAGATGTGTCCGAGTCATACTCAACATACAACACCTCTGCTGTATTGAACAGATAGTGAATGTGTTCATTTAATTTATAAAGTTTCATATAAATTTGTGTTGTATTATAAGTTTGTCTTAGATTTAATTATGTGACTATTTACTAATACATGTACTAAGTGAAATTAGGCACTGTGTGTTAATACATTTAGTATGTGCATGAGCAATGAAAAATAGTATATAAATCAGTTGAGACAGACTTATCAGCAGCTCTTCAAAGCACACATCAATGTAGCAGGACATAAGACTAAATCTACCCTTTACCATGCCGCTTACCGAGTCATTTTTCAGCTGTTGGGAAAAGCTATTATTAGTTGGTTGAATCAAGAAATAGATATCACACCAGTCACCATATAAAAAAAACTAACTTAAATTTATAAGGCTGTCATATACATGTACGCAGCAAACTATTGGTTTGTCGGTTACTCGTTGTAGTTAATTCAAAGCATATTAACAGCAGGAAAAACAAAAAGTTGCTCTTATCGAAGATTTAAATTTTCCTTCATCTCTCAGACACATTAAACAAAAAAGCATGAGCACTACAAGCAGTAGATAATATATTTGCCTACTTCATGTGTGTCAGATTTTCAGCTTGTTACCATTATGATACTAATGAAAGTTTGGCTCCGATATAAGAAGTAGAAGTTACAGTTTCAAAAATGTGCTGCTTTATTTTGCCACCTTCATCGTGCAAAGACTAAAGTCGCGAGTCACTGACCTTTACAATGACTTGTAACCTTGACATTTACCTGGTTTTTACTAGTATGATATTTAATTATTTGAAATATGGAAATCTCAATCCAGAAACTGAAGATAAACTTAACTATGTCATCATCAGTGAAAAATTTTGTAGCTGTACATATATCTTCCCTGACCTGACATTCAACCAGGATGCAAGGACTGATGTCAGCAATTATATTGAGATTCTATGGCTGTGATTTTGTCATCTCATGATCAGATACATGTACATAAATGCATTTCAGGAATATTTCTCTTCACGTTTCATGAAATTTTGCTGATCATCAAAAAGTCAGTAACTAATACCTGAACAAGTCGAAATTGAAAATATCTGTCGTTATTCATAATTGTTTAGCTTTGAAGCTTGACTTTGCATGTACTACAGATAGAGTGGAAGTTTAATTGCAAACTTCTGTTACAAACAACCTCTTTGTTTATCTCCTGTTACTGAGTTAGAGCCAATAATAACACCTGACTAATAATGAGGTTACAGAGTAAACATGCTACGAAGAAACAAAATATACATATTAAACTATATTGTATACCATGTGTTAAAAGCTTGTTCATTTTAAGAAAGTGATTGAACAAAAATGGAATGATGAACACAGATATAAAAACTAAATATGTAAAAATCAAAGAAACAGCTTTTGCAATCACATCAAATAACCATCTACACAAATACTAATTAACAACAACAGACTTCACACTACCCTAATTCAACTATCTGATGCAGTATAGGGTAACTGTGCTTACCTCCTTAGGTATAGATGGTTTGGGTGGAACCCACTCTCTAGCAATATACTTTTTCTGTTCATATTTGGCTCGTATGAAGGATTCTAGAGACCGTCTAACAACTGTTAAGGTAAACTCATGTAAACAACAATCACAAATGGTGTAGTATACAAGATCCACACAAAAGAAACTCATTTGACATCAGATTTTCGTAAACATATCTGACTTTTTTCTACATACACTTCAGTCAATCTTTTTTTTTCTTTTTATTATTCTACAAATAATTCCTCAATATATTTAAAAACTAAGATTTCAGATGTTGAATCTACATCTAAACATGAATCCTTTTATAGTTAACTATAACTTATACAACTTTGTAACCAGTCATATCATATCTATAACCATGTGGTAATAAACTGCTGAAGGATACGAATCTGTCTGTGGTCGCCTAAATCCATCTGGAACATTAGCTTCATACACTGCTCGTGCTCTGCTGTTTCCCATCTCCATCATCATCTGAAGAAGTAACATGGAAATCTAAACGGTCATAACTAAAACAAAGCCTACAGCTAACATATGTTTTATTTACCAGGCAGATGGTATTCATTTTTTGTTATCCACAACAATATTATATTTCCAATTGAGTAACCATAAACATTTAAACATATTATTATTCAACATGTGTGATTGCACATGATTTTGACCAATACTACCATACTATATAATGGTGTCTCATAGTTAAGGTACATAATGTGCACTGAAGAGTAAGCTATTGTATTGAACACAAAGATAAAAAAACAAGAATAGCAGAAACATTGCACTGAATGTACATACAGATACTAATTCTATCAAGATAAACAAACCATGCTCATAACAAATAGTGACTATATCCTGTATGACAATACATACAAGTAGTGAAGTGGCCACAGATATGAATTTGTATAATATGTATAAATATACATTGCAGTATATCTAGTTCAACTTACAGCTACTTGTTCTGTGGTCCATGCATCCAAGTTCACTGACTTAACTTTCGATATGTGAACTCCTAAATTTCTGTGTATTCCAGCACAACGAATACACAGAAATATCCCAAGGTTCCATGATGCCCATCGTGGTCCTGAAAAAACCAGGTTAATCAGTATCAAGTATAGATAAGAATGAAAAGAGTATGTAACTCTTATATATGTACATCTACCCTATGGATGGACAAAGTATATGATGCATGCTGGAGTGATTACGTGATGACACAGGACTCTCGATCTGCAGATTTGGGGCCGAATACAATGCAAAATAGTATCTTTTTTCCCAATTTAGACCCAAAGTTTTCCCAATTCTAAGGAAAACACCATTATTTTTCCCAATTCTAAGGCCCCCGGGTCCCAGTCCCAAAATGGGGTGTGAGAGCCCTGTGACTAAACACGAGATAATTGTGAATATATTATCTACGTTAAGGAAACTGATGTAGTTCAAGCACAAACAGGGTCGGAGGATATTTCTAATGAACCCCTCATGTTATAGCTTTGGTGCCATCAACTACTCCAAGAGCAGAAGTTATAAGAGAATGAGAAGTTGCCTCAGGAAATATAGGCTCTGAGTTGTGGTTGTATTCTGGAGGAAAGTCTTGTGAAGGAGGGAGTAGAAGTTGAGAGTTCAAGTCACCTTACTAGTATCTGCTTGTAAAAATTTCCCTTCCACAACATATGCCTTGAGAGCAAGGGGTTACTTGTTCAGTGAGTATGTGAGTATATTTTTCATTACTCACTTTCTTTAACACTTTAAATTAAAGATTCACAGGAAAGTTGGATTGCCTATCTCTTATCAAAACATAAACCAATGTTCCACGGTATTTCTAAGCCATATCTGAAATATATATATACATTTTCAATCTTATTTACTGAAATCTTTTAAAAGTACAAATATTTGGTATGTTTTAATTCCTTCTTATAAGCGGATAATTGGGACTTCCGTTTTTCGATCATATGTTATGCTTAGACTGACAAAGCAGGACCTGTGACTGTGTCAACTATGAAAATCGATGTCATATGTTGACTGATTTCGATTAACGCCAGTCTCATGAAAACCAAACTGGGAAAATAAATATATCAACTTAATCATGAACTATTCATATCCACCAAACAATATAATTAGTCACTATTCAAAAATAGCGATGTAGACAAAGACGCCAGTTGAATTGACAGTGGTTAGGGGTGGTTACCTGTGTAACATGTACACAGATACTAGATAAGGCCGGTAGGAACTCACCTTTCGCATCACAATCTACACAATATTTATTATCTTCATCTTTCAGAAGACCTGAAAGAACTGCTTGGAACTTCTCTTGTTGAGCCTTAAGTCTTTCTTTTTCAGCTCGAGATGACATTTCCGACTTTTTCCTTGGTCACTCCTCCGAAATGACAACCGGATGAACGTACTTGTTCAAGGTAGACAACTCCTGACGCGGATTAATTGCGGCCACGCACACACCGGTTTATTCATCCTTTTTCTGCAGCTTAATTCCTATTTCAAACTTCAAATTTTATTATTTTGTCGCCGATAAAAATTTGCTTAACACGATTTCTGCGAATAATGGATGATAAATTATATTATCACCAAGAACTATATTTTTGTGGATGGATACATTATTTTTCGTACTTCCTGCTGTAGTAGAAGGTAGCACAACACCGTTTTGTGATATATATATATAATTACATACAGTATTGATGTTGTCATCAGAGAGGTACATCTTTTGTAGATGGATATCTTTATCTGATGACATCTTGAAACTATTTACTTTAGGTTCTAGTCCTATCAATACAAGCAATTATATATTTGAGCAGATACGTATATGTGTTATATACGTCTCTGATTTGAGTCATCAAAGCTAAAACGAATATAAATAGCAAAAGAATGACACGCAGATGTCACACAATACGTTCGGTGTTCAGTAGGGACACGAATGTCAGATTTTATCGTAATTTTCCCAATACTGAAACACCATTTTCAATACAAAACCATTTACTAATTAGAACAAAATAAATCGGGAATTGCTTTCAAACCGGGACTGCAGCCTTATGCTCGTTTACATACTCTGAAAGGAGTCTGTCGCATTTCATGGTATGTAAACGAAAATTAATCGGAAGCCTTATGCAGGGACTGGAATCAAGGTCCCGTGGAGGCTTATCTGGTGCTAGCTTTGTGTTAATCAATTGCGACGAGCTTTGAAAAATAACCGAAACCTAAGATATACGTCCATGTTTCAAACAATATGGAAAGGGTAATTGGATTGCTGAATACTAATTATTTTCAAAACACAAATTATTTGTGGTTTACATGGCGGATGTCGTCGACGAAGCAGAAGACGCTTACTCTTCCGGAACACGTGTTCTTATCCTCCTAGTACCTTTTCATGGGTCTCTGTGTAAATCTTTCTTTTTTTCATATATTCCCCTAGTTTTATGGAGTTTGCATTATAATTGTGTTGCCATGTTGGTATTTTCTTTGTGTTTTTTTGCAACACCATCCGGATTTGTTTCCAGCTTTTCGCCCCTAAACTTCTACCTTGCAACCCCAATATGCTTCACATGGTCTGTCTGTCACTCTCCAACATACACAGGACTTCACTTTTTTGCATGTAGAAATACAAAACAAACACAATCCGAGGAAAGGGTGGGATCGGAGTTGAAAATCATTAAAAAGGAGGGGAGATTTTTCAGTTTAAAAAATATGCACCCCTTTATCCTGAAATCCTGAATCGGCGCTTGACTTCACCACTACTTGTACACTTAAAAATAGTTCCAAAGTGGCACACTCGCCTTTAACCTTGAACCGGGGTTTGTTTGATTCCCCGATTGGACATGAAAAAGTATTCGATCGGTTGGTTTCCTCCCTCAGCAAGACCCCTCGCGCGTTTCCATTCGGGCCTGCAACGCTTCCATATTTCCCGTTTGGTTTTTCCCTTTGTTGCCTTTAACGTCATTGAATAGCCATTCGGAACGTCATATTTTAAGTTTTACCCATTAACTTGTTGTCTTTTATATCACCCTTCGGTGTAATAAGACGGTCTTTTACAAGACTAGTTTTCTGTCCAAACATTTAGAAATCAGACGTAAATCCTTGCAAAGTAAACATTTTCTTTATTAAGAATCGTGCACTCGAACACGATATGGGATTTTCACCGTATAGTCAACACATCAATGCGAAACTGTTTTTTAAAGTAATGAATAAGTTTTACAAGCTAATGAATAAAAGTTTAATGTCATTGCTAAATTAAAATTGAGATGGGTCTAACATTTAAATTGAACATTAAAATTCCTTCAAATCAACACTATTGACTAGGTTTAGTGCTGTATGTTTTTTGTGGTGATTGATGGTTGGTAATGTAGGAAAAGTAGATATAGATACGATATTTAAATACAGTAAGACATACAATTGCAAGAAACACAGCAAAAGCCAATAACTAGAAGTTAAGATTTTTTTTCAACAAGACATTGATAGTTGAATATTGTTCAATCTAACGAAACATTTTTACAAGTCCGTAATTCAAATTAGTGGCCCTCGGCACATGCTTGCCACATTCCGCTTCAGATTTTTTTTTGTACTTCAGGTAGTCTTCCGTGCAAACACTCTATTTCCCGTATCGAACTATACTAAAGAGATATAGACATTCTCAAATTTGAAAAAAAAAATCCTATGTTGAGATTGTTTTTTAAGGTGCATCATCTCCCGACACATAATTTAAACAAGGATAACGAATAGCTCACAAACGCTTCAGTAAAATATGCGGGGAATTATTGCTGGAAAGGTTAGCTTTTTGTCGTATTCATTGTTATCTCCACAATACCAAAATGTATTTACACAGGAAGCAAATCACATGCCACTATGTATGAATTGCTAGAATAGTATAACTGCTCATTGCCGACATGAACCACTGTAAGGACAATAAGCCTTCCCCACCATCAGTAAAGAACAGAGTATTTATGCCCGTTACGTCATATAGGAAGGTATATTTCTCTAATCGATCCATGATCCTTTACATTCGATACGAAATATCATTAATATACTGCGCAAATTCTATTCCGCCATCATACACAAAACACTTGTAAAATTTTGACGTTCCCGCTTTTTTCTCCACACACGCACACACACACCCACACACACGCACACACACACGCACACACGCGCACGCACACACATCTACACACACACGCCCTCACACACACAAACACACACACACACACACACACACATGGTTATTTACTCCGCGCTATCGTACACCTCCGAACCACTTTGTGTTTCTATAGCTTTCAACAGAACACTGATGTAGGCCCTGGTCAATGAATCGTCCCTGTAACAGATAAGATGTACACATCAACCACATGCACATCCTCATACTCTATTTATGTAATATTCATCATTATTTTTGTTGCTGTATCGTCTCTTATTTTTAGAACAAACATTTGCCTGGATTTCACATCGATTTTTTTATTCTTGTAAATTTTCAATGGTTTCCATGTAAACATATTCCCATTGTTAACACGTAGAAATCATCTACTGCGTACTCATGGTGACCGTGACGTCATACCGGAAGGAATAATTTCATAAGTTAGACATCTCGAAGCTTTTACGAAATTACATGTATGAAGGTTTCCATAATGACGTGATTGATCACAAGATAAAAACGATCAATATTCTACAAACGTCTAATTTGGAGATGTCACTTATCATAGTTATAGTAATCTACAGATATCTAGTGGGGTATGTTACTAACCCATCGTTGTAGTAATCTACAGATATCTAGTGGGGTATGTTACTAACCCATCGTTGTAGTAATCTACAGATATCTAGTGGTAGTATGTTACTACCCATACTTGTAGTAATCTACAGATATCTAGTGGTAGTATGTTACTACCCATACTTGTAGTAATCTACAGATATCTAGTGGTAGTATGTTACTAACCCATCGTTGTAGTAATCTACAGATATCTAGTGGTAGTATGTTACTACCCATACTTGTAGTAATCTACAGATATCTAGTGGTAGTATGTTACTAACCCATAGTTGTAGTAATCTACAGATATCTAGTGGTAGTATGTTACTAACCCATAGTTGTAGTAATCTACAGATATCTAGTGGTAGTATGTTACTAACCCATCGTTATAGTAATCTACAGATATCTAGTGGTAGTATGTTACTAACCCATCGTTGTAGTAATCTACAGATATCTAGTGGTAGTATGTTACTAACCCATCGTTGTAGTAATCTACAGATATCTAGTGGTAGTATGTTACTAACCATAGTTGTAGTAATCTACAGATATCTAGTGGTAGTATGTTACTAACCCATACTTGTAGTAATCTACAGATATCTAGTGGTAGTATGTTGCTAACCAATCGTTGTAGTAATCTACAGATATCTTGTGGTAGTATGTTACTACCCATAGTTGTAGTAATCTACAGATATCTAGTGGTAGTATGTTACTAACCCATCGTTGTAGTAATCTACAGATATCTAGTGGTAGTATGTTACTAACCCATCGTTATAGTAATCTACAGATATCTAGTGGTAGTATGTTACTAACCCATCGTTGTAGTAATCTACAGATATCTAGTGGTAGTATGTTGCTAACCCATCGTTGTAGTAATCTACAGATACCTTGTGGTAGTATGTTACTACCCATAGTTGTAGTAATCTACAGATATCTAGTGGTAGTATGTTACTAACCCATCGTTGTAGTAATCTACAGATATCTAGTGGTAGTATGTTACTAACCCATCGTTATAGTAATCTACAGATATCTAGTGGTAGTATGTTACTAACCCATCGTTGTAGTAATCTACAGATATCTAGTGGTAGTATGTTACTACCCATACTTGTAGTAATCTACAGATATCTAGTGGTAGTATGTTACTAACCCATCGTTGTAGTAATCTACAGATATCTAGTGGTAGTATGTTACTACCCATCGTTGTAGTAATCTACAGATATCTAGTGGTAGTATGTTACTAACCCATCGTTATAGTAATCTACAGATATCTAGTGGTAGTATGTTACTACCCATAATTGTAATAATCTACAGATATCTAGTGGTAATATGTTACTACCCATAGTTGCAGTAATCTACAGATATCTAGTGGTAGTATGTTACTACCCATAGTTGTAGTAATCTACAGATATCTAGTGAGGTATGTTACTAACCCATCGTTGTAGTAATCTACAGATATCTAGTGGTAGTATGTAACTTATCATGGTTGTAGTAATCTACAGATATCTAGTGAGGTATGTTACTAACCCATAGTTGTAGTAATCTACAGATATCTAGTGGGTTATGTTACTACCCATAGTTGTAGTAATCTACAGATATCTAGTGGTAGTATGTTACTACCCATAGTTGCAGTAATGTACAGATATCTAGTGGTAGTAT